GTAGTCGTTGATTTTTTTGGGACAAATTTAAATGGAACACCCCCATAGGCGAAAATAAACAGTAAACATCAACACACACATACCCACATACGATTACATACACCGATGAAAAGGCAAAAGCGACAAACACACATACAGCCGTATTCGTATGCAGTCTTAGATGTTGATGTGAGTGTGGAAGCAAGTGCATGAGCTCATAATGACGTCACTGTTAACCCTCTTTCGCGCCTGCATGCATGCACACTACCACACGTATACTCGTATATATATGTACATATGCACAACCGGAGATACTTGCAATGTACAAACTTGTGAAGAGGTCGTGAATCACTGCAACAGCGTTACGACTGTCCGTGCTTATGTCACTCATACGCCATCGCCTCTTACGCAAATGTATGTACATATTTCGCAATATCAGTTGCTTGCCCCCACCTGCCCAGCCTGCTCTGCTGTCTCTGGTCCATCAAATACCGTTGCAATCAAAATCGTAATCGCAATCGTGTCTGAGTTGAGTATGTCATTGAGGGTTCACTTGCGTAGTTTGCAAAGTTTAATTGAAGTGCGGCCGAGAGGCAAACGAGTGAGGGGTAAATGGAGATTGAAAAAAATAAGTAGAAGAAGAGGAATCTGGCGAAAAGTTAAGAGGTTAGAGTCGGAGAATATTGTAGAAGCGTAGAAGCAAATGAGGAGCATGCAGAAGCAAAGCAGAAAAGAAGTGAATACAAAATAAGAAGGAATTGCACAGCCTGAGCTCCTCTGTCTTTTCATACTACCCACTGCCGGTGAGCTGGTTGATGCCTTTGGGGCTTGGGGAGCGGAGTACTGGTGCATGTGCGATTACCTGCCAACGAATTAAATGAAAAAGGACAATGAAAATTGTTTTCTTTCTTTTAGAAAGTTATGTTTAAATTTGGTAACTTTCTTCTAACAGTTTCTGTTCAAAAATATCGGTTGAATTTTTCCAACAGTTTTTGAAATAAATTTTTATTATTTTTCAATTAAATATTGTTTTTGTTGTTATAATAGGTTTTAAATTTTCACACTAAAAATATATTTTTTGTTTTTTTTTGGAGGTTTCTCTGATTTGCTCTGCATTTTTTTCCAATCTTTCCCCCCTTGGTTCAAGTGTTGTAAGCATTTCTTTGCGCACTTACACTTCAGTTATTTCTGTGCATTTTTGAAATTTCTTGCAAATTCTTTCTGGATTGGCAACAATGTGCTTGTACATTTGTATGCACAAATAACTTTGAAAGGATTTTCTTGTCTCTAAACGACACTGAATTCATTGACGCATGTACTGTATGCCGACTGATATACCGTTATGCGCAATCAATGTTCTTGGCATTGTACTTAGAAGCAGCAGAAATATTCCATTAGTTTAATAAAAAGTAGGAGAAGAAAGTTTCGCGCTGCTGCTGGCCTACGCCACGGTCTATATACGTAAATTGAATTGGATAGATGCAAAAGTTTAGGAAATCATTATGTGAGTGTGTGTTTAGTTTGTATTAACTGTTAAAGCAGGCATCCTTGAAACAAATAAAAGAAACTGCACTTCTTGCACTTGGAATGGAACTCGTTTATTATGCCTTGAATATTCCTCTTTTATTTCTTTGCAAAAGCCTGCTGTAGGAAGGCAAGATCCTCATGAAGTACGTAAAAATGTGCATAATAGAAAAGACAATGCAATTACCGATATTTTCCATAAGATTCTGCACAATTCTTACACATCACACCGCTTCTCAATAAATGTAAAAAGTGCGCCTAAATGTATGCAACATATTCGAAGTGCAAAATTCGGCAAAATTGAAAAGCATAATGTTAAAACTCAGTTAAGACCAAACAATTGTAAACTATTTTATGCAGTCTTAGTGAATGCTTATTACTGTGGAATAAGCCTTCTCTACAGAGATTAGGACAACACCAATAGCAACTTTTGATAGGTTACTTTACAAAACACCAATTTACATCGCACCGGAGATCACAGCATGGAATCAGTCATGAAACTCATGGTCTTAAGTGAATTATCTACTTCTTCGCTGGAACCTTCGGGCACAACCCAATATGCAGTGGAATGAAGGAAAAAATAGACTACATATCTCCGTGCTTTATTTGGAAAACGGGGTTGCAAGCCACGTTCAAGGAGGGCGGATGGCGGAAGAACGTGGACCAATGGGACAGCGAAACCTAACCTAACCTAGTCATCACCATTGTTCTTCATTACAGTGAACACCTCAGGAAGAACAGTTTTCTTCCTCCCCACTTCAAGCCGGAGCTGGTGTGTGGAATTCATCGTTCATTTAACCAAGAGTTGAAGGGTCACCCGGTGGATTCAGAAATCGGTGGCATGCCCCAGACTAGAGTTAAAGCGGTCACTACAAAAAAGCCAAATTATTATTGTTATTTTGTTTTAATTAATATAGAAGTTATGGTAGTAGTAGTAGATTTCCGTGTTACTCACTAATACTATGAATTTCGCCAAGCCATGAAAGTGAACTCACTAACTGAATTTGAGTTTTGACTTAAGAAAATATTTGCATACGAGTATATGTATGTGTACGCGTATACAATTTCTGACAGAAATTTGCATAAATACCTAACTGCTTGCATATAACTAAACGTATTATGTAAATATGTGTACGTGAAGTATACGTAAACTTGCACTTGACGCCGTTAGCCGTGAGCGAGAGCGTGAGCGTGAGGTAGTGAATCATCGCCTTAACCTTCATTCACCTTAGACTTGTTACCCTCCGACTTGGCGGTGAAAGGAAGTAAATTGGCTTGTAATACACCGAAGGTATTTACATATATAAGTATATTCTATAGTGCTCATACGTATGGCGTATATACATATATATAGCCTGTTTCCTTTCTCTAATACTTCCAAAGGAGTGGGAAAATGTTTGTTTATTTTGGTTGAAAGCCCAACCACTGGTAACTAAGAACCCTAAGTATGTTTTGTAAACAAAAGTATCCTTGCTAAGTCAAATAAGAGACATAGATCACCTAAAGAAGCCAGTATAAATAATTTACAGATATTGATTAGGCAAATGTTGCTTGCACAAACGATCACTATCAACCGCTGATTTCAATTTTCTCTCGCTATTGAAGTAATTAGTGAAGTATTTCGTTCGTTTAACTTACCAGTTAGTCATGGCCACCATACAAGTAAAATACGCCTAAAAGTAGGCAACGAAATTCGCATAACTTATCCACAAATTACTGCAGTTGAAAAACGACCGACTTAAACAGAGACTTGCCAATAAAGCAAGTTTCCATAATAACACTCCAAATACATACATATGTGCTAAAAAATAATTAAGGGAGGTTATTTTAATTAGTATTGCCATAAGTGGGTTAATTAACCCTTTTTATACTATTTAATAACAGCCTTTTGATACTTTTCCTTCCATTTTTTCTATTGAAATTTTTCTTTCATTTATTTTTCATATTACCGCCATTTTATTTCTAACTAATTACTACTACCCATATGAATCTGGAAATATTATTGTATAAATACGTATATATGTATTGTATATTCTTACATGCTTCTCTAGAATAGCGCCTACATACAAACAGCCAGTTAATGATCATAATAAATAAATAGGCCCGTAATTTATGCTACTAATTTGTGGCTAACATTATTTGCGTTGCCAACATTGCCAGCGGCCAATCAGTTGCAATTATTATATGCGAAACTCATACGCCAGTGCACACTCACACATGCACGTATACATCATACATACATTTCCCTTTGGCAAAATGCCATAATTGCTGCTACCAAATATTAAATAGTCGAATGAGTGACCGTTAAATGCATTGCATTTTTTAAGCGCTGGCGAGTACTCGTTTTTCAACTACTTGGGCCGCTTGGAAATGTTCATACAACGACTTGTTCTCCACAGTACTCGAATGAATACAAGAATTGTGTGAGGTACATTGACGTAGTCGTTTTAGTTCCTGGTCCATTGGTGATTGAAGTTCCCATGGCCTTTCTGCGCCAAGTGAGCATTGTTGTTGTCTGCAGAACACTGGACACTCACAGATTACGTGCTGCAATGTCTCGACATATTATCTGCGCTTATTACCCCAATAGGAACTGTTTTAAGGGCAATACTCCGTTAGCAATGCTAATGTTCGACCTTTTTACCGCTAGTAACCGCAATCTATATAAAGCAACGATCTTCAACAGCCAATAAGTATACCACACTCATCGCGAGCTTGTACAGAGCAGTCTATCTAAATGCACGGATGATGAAGGACTTATTCAGGTGCTAGAAATGACCACAGCAAGGTTTTTGGCTGTCACGCGCAGCAATATAGACGAAAGAAATGCCTCAAGAAACGCAATCTATTTTTTGCAACAGAGAACACTCGCCAGGAATTAGAGGAAAATAACTCCGAAAGACTACGTCCCCAACACATAGTTCTAAAAATTCATGGAGAAGCAAGATGCATAAGCTGAAAAAGCTTAAAATTCCGAGGGAGTGCTTTTATGTAAGGAATAATCACTCAGGGCCTTATGCAGGGCAACCATCGCAATGCAGTTCTTGTGAACGGGCACGTTTTCATGCAAAAGCAGCACATCTTCCGCCAATTTTTCCTGTCTTTTACCTTTAATGACTTCTTTTAGTCGCTGTACCATGAATTTTCAACTGACTATGACGCCTTACAATTCTTGGGAGGGGCTGTGCCCTTGTTATGCCATTCCATGGAGTATTGCTTCGACGCTGATTCATAATAGGAGCCCAAGTTTCATGTCCAGTAACAATTCGACTCAATACATCTCTACATTACAATGGTCCACAAATATATTGTAATTACGACTTAACGAAACGCGAGGTAGTTCAGATCATAGTTCCAACCTGCTTCGAAAACTTGCAAAAACTGGTTTGCATGAAAAAAATTAAATTTTTGTATTTCCTCTTTTCTCTTTGATTTCCACTTTTTTCTGTTCTTGTTCCCCGTTCTGGAAAATTAACAAATGAAAACTCTTTTACAGATATGTTTGTAAAAAATTTATTCGAACCCCTGTTAAAAATATCTGCTCACAAAACCTCGGGTTCCGCTAAATTTCGATCAGCATGCTGCATACATTTCACATAAATAATCGTCATACAATTAAATCTTAGCTATAATATAACTTTTAATTTCATTTACAGTTTTAGCTTCAAACTTTTTTGAACAATTTTTGTTTAATTTCTCCTTAAAGCGTTATTAAAGCAACAAAAACTCACGCATTTAATTTACGAATAAATAAACAATTGACAGCTTTTGTTTACACACACAAACGTACAAAAAATATTATTAAAAAAATAGTGCGATTATGTAAACTAAATTATCAAGTTTCGAAAATAATTACAGTTACAATATAAAAGTTAAACTAATTATAAACTTACACATCCATGTACATCGTAAAACATATATTAATACAAAAATACATACATACATATATTTTAGAAAATAAAAAAAGTTAATTAAACTAAATTTCAACAACTATTTACATTAATTATTATTTGTCCATTATTTGAGATTACTTTTACGCTTCCAAAATGGAAAAATATCTTTAGTAGGTATGAATTGCAGTTCACACATGAACATACATATTTATTTTCACACATGTGAATGTATTCGAATATCCCTTCTTGTGACTGTTGTAGTCTACAAACGCCAAGCACCACCACACGTCCGACGCCAGAAATATGAGCGCCCCCTTGCACTAGCTCCCATTACTGCCGGCGTCTTTCTTCTTCGGCCGCAAAATGAAGTTCAAATTGTAGTTCGTATTCACCGCATAATACACATTAGCGTTCTTCGGCATCACGAGCTCCTTGTCGGGCAGCACCTGCGCCAGCGTGTAGTCGTCGGGATCAGCCTCGAGGCTGAGCTTCATCATCGCGTTGCGTATGACGTGTGGCGTGCGTTCGTTATTGCCCAGCATAATGCTCTTGTACAGCACAATGCCATCCAGCTCGATGTTATCCGTCTCATATGTCACGCGGATGATGTAGAAATCAGGCGCGTTATTGGTCTTAGCACCGGGCGACTGCACGAGCTGCGCATTGATTATGGGCGAGCCAACGTTAAGTTGCGTATTGTTATGGCTACCACTGCCGGTGCTGCCACGTACGCCATTCGTCGAGTGGGAGTGTGTCATGCGCGTATTCGATTTCTGTCCACCCGAGTTGCTCGAGTCCATCGATAAATTTGAAACACTGCTCGACGCTGAAAGCAGAGACGCATTCGGTGCTTGCGCGTCACGATCGAGCGAATTATGCCTTGAGCTATAGTGCGAGCTATAACTGTTATTCAGCTCACAATAGAACTGTGAACCTGCGCCACTACTCGAGTTGGACGCTATCGAGTCTGTCTTCCGATGTCCATTGCCACCAACGCCACCACCGCCACCGCCACCCATCGAGCTCGAAGAAATCGTCGTGTTCGTTAGCGATGTATTCGTGGAGGCGGTGGACTTGCGCGGAGCTGGCGGTGGTGATTCGAGTTGGCAGGAGAGTGTATGCGCCTCTCGCTCATCCAATACCAGCACCGAGGCAAACCAACGATCGAAATTTGGATCTTCGCGCAGGTTGTATGTGTTGGCGGCACCCTGTAGCAGTTTGATCTGTGCGAGCACCTCAAACTCTTTGCGTTTCTTGTCGAAATTAATGAGCTGGTGTTCGCCTATCGTATCGGGTATGGCGGCGTGTATCATTGTCAGGTCGGTGAGGAAGGTGCCGAGGTAAGGTATGGTGCCATGCGACGTCTGCGTGCTCTGTGACATGGAACGGAAGAAAATATAATTAGTGGTGTATGCAACATGTAGGCATTGGTAAATGTAAAGGGGTGTGTCTATCATTGTATTATGGGTTTTATGGGGTCAGCTTGCACTGTTTGTGCCACTACCGGTTTGTGCTGCACTCACTTGTTTCTGTATGATCTTCTGCAGATGGCGATCGTGCTCACCCACCGTGTCGGCGAATTTCGCAGTGCCCTCACGCATGAGTACTTCGCGCTGCGCCCAAGCGTTGTTGTCTTCCGAAAATATTCTGGCAAGTTCATTGAAAATTTCCATCTGACGCAAGGGAAAAAGAATAGGTAAGAGGTGTTTTTCGCAAAAAGCAATAAAAGCAATGCAATAATTATAGCAAACCTTCTCTTTCGGGAGCACGGCCCATATTTTGGAAAGCCTATAAATTGGATTCGATTGCAGTCCAGAAATAATTGCTTTCAGTGAGGAGAAATTTTTCAGCAATCGCAGCTCTTGTGCAATATCAATCCATGTGGCAATATTCAATGCACGCTCCTGAAGAAGAATAAGTGGATATTAGAAATTACTACTATGATACTTTAGCAATACGCCAAACACTCACCTGCGGCTTAAGTCTCGGCTCAATCAGTATGCTCGAAATCACCCGAAAAAGCACAGCATTGAATTGATTTATGGTGGCCACGACCGTCTCCGAGCCGCTTTTGTCGCGTCGCGCCCACGTCGCTCCGAGACACTGATGCGGTATCAAGCGCTTAAACAACTCCGAGTCCATACGCGTCAGCTGCTCGGCGAAATGGCGCACCGGCACGTGTGGAAAGCGGAACGCCTGTAGGAAATGTGTCGGCCCACGAAATGCAGGCGCTAAACACAGTCCCGCAAACTGTTCTGTGTAGTCAGAGTTATAGTGTTGCGGGAGCATGCCAACACTCAAGCTCATATTTATATTACTGCCATTCCCCGGCGCGCCCATACTGCTCGCCGCCAACCATGGCGGCACGCTCGACTCGCCATACACCTGCTGACGCAGTATGCGCTCCAGTCGATGCAGCACTTTCAAATGCAACTCTGAACGTGGCAGACGCTTCGAGGCAAAAGCCAGTATCTGACGCAGGTTATCCTCATTCCAATCCTCCGGAAAGCCATCCAACCACACATGCAATGCTGAGACTAGTGTTTTCTTGTGTTGCTCATGTATCGAAGCAGCTGGATCGTAGCCAACATCTTCGAGTTGTTGATGTTCTTCGATCTCCTCCAAGTGTTTCTCATTGAGTGTGTCATAGCGTCGTATGAGCAGACTGAGCACCTCTTTCGGTGAAGAGAAGGTGCGATAGGTCGAGAGGAAAACATTAATGAATGTCGACTCTAATTCACCGTCGTCTGTGGCTAACGCCTCCACAAGGCGTGCCAACGTGGCCGCCTTTACGAAGCGCACTCGCACAGTTTCCCACTCGAGGTGGCTAATTTCATCGTCCGAGTCCTATGACGTTGCACACACGTGTACAAATACGAGGTGGTGGTAATGGAAATAGAGAGAAAGAGAAAGGGAAAGTGATTAATACATTTCCACTTCTGGCTGGGCTAGTCAAGGTGAAATTGATTTTTAGGCAAACAAAAGTTAATTAAAAAGCTTCAAAGCTCTGACCGACAGGCGGTCAGTCATTTTGTTGTTGCATATACTTACATTATTCGCCGTTGGTGTCGGCCGATGATAGCGCACCTTCTTAAGGTAGACCGTGAAAATGGCATTCTTCTCATGCTCCTCGCCCCAGAGACGCCACGTGGGCTGTAAAGCACATAAATCAAAAAGAAGGAAATTCAATTTTATTGGAACATTCTATTAACGGTTTGCTGGAATGAGGGAACTTTTGACATATGAACTGTTATATAAAAGTATGTAATATGTACTTGTATGCACATAAAAAGTAAATGCAGTTAGATATGTATGTGATATGTAGCTCCGGATGGAAGGGACTGCTTTAGATGTAAAACCAATCGGTTTTCTGTCACTCTAATGAATTTCGAGAATTTGAAGGTCAATTGATTGACCGCAACTATGACATTGGCGGGCGCGGAGAAAAGTAAAACACCGTTTGTGCTCTACCTGAGTGAGATAAGTAAGCTCATCTAGTGATCCTTTTGGGTGAATTGATAAAGGATTTTAATTATGGGTCTGTTTTAATAATGGAATGTATGTATGTTTATGTTGGCAAAGACCTTACCTAACCTTATCTTATGTTGCATTGGATGAATGCATAAGTTCGTGCCCGATTCCGCTGGATGCCGTTCGAATCGTTTGAGAGTGGCGCTCGTGAAAGAAATATATACATATTATATATCATTGGAAAAGTGACAGTCCGAACTGTAAATCAAGCATAAAATAACTTCATTTTGATTGAAGGACTTTAGTTGCGAATAACTCACGTATTTCGACGGAAGAGGTTGCCAGTGAATTGAACATCAACAAATCAACTGCGTTTCGTCGTTTAAAAAAGGTTCGGTACACTTTGAAGCTCGATACATGGGTGCCACATCATATTCACCCGACATTGCACCTTCTGATTAACATTTGTTTCGATCGCTGCAGAACAATTTGAATGGAAAAAAATTTAAAAATGTGGAAGACGTCAGAAACCACCTTGACACCTTTTTCAACGAGAAACCGCGCGATTTCTATGAATCAGGCATCCGTAAATTGGTTGAACGTTGGGAGTGGATTGCCGAACATGATGGTGAATACATAATTGATTAATATAAGCGCTTTCCTCAAAAAATTTTTAGTTTGCACTTGAAATCGGGCACGAACTTATGCACTCATCCAATATAATACAATATATATTTACTTTTAATTTTGTGTAAAAAGAACTCAAACGCTCATGCAAAGTATACTCAATAAATTAGAATAACTCTTTTATCTAATAAATTGAGTTGAATGGAAATTTTGAGGCGGCTACTATAGTTGTACATTCAAATTCCTTTTATTTTTCCATCCCATAATTTTCTATTAAATTAAAGCCATTTTAATAAGTAAAAATTATTCCAAAAGCGTTCTATAATATTCCTTGAGTCTTTTTGAGTATCGTACATACCTCTTTTGATTTGTTTATACGTGTATGTATGCATTTGTAACACCTCTCTCTAGCCGCTATCTATCTTTCATTGTGCTGACGTAATAGAAAGCTTTCAATAAGCTATTTTTTATAGCAAATTAACTGAAATTATCAATTGCTACTTTAGTTACCAAAGAAAGCGTTCAATCACATTTTGCCACATTTAGCTATTAAACGAAACATACATATGTAAATAAATAAAATTGTATATAGAAATTTATATACAATACAAAAAAATGTTTGCTTTTCCATAAATATGCCTGTTTATATTATAAAGAGAAAATTCGTGTGAAATCAATTTTCAATTAATTCTGTAAATGACCGTATTTCCATTTAAAATATTAAGCAAAGCAAAAAATTATTTATTTTCCAGACAAGTTAATATGCACATATAATTTATTTAAATATATGCACACACATCTATATGTATTAAAAAGTGAATGTGGCAATATGATGAATTGCCAGCATCCGCTGAGTGAATAAATTAAAAAATGAAAGGAAAAACAAGCATAAAGACAAATCCTTATATGCGCGCCTATCTAAACTGCGTGTGTATGTGTGTATTTAGATGCCGATCACCATAAAAACTTAGTGTAATTGTTCATAGTCCAATCGATCGCTATCGATTATCGATTGCATTTTCCTGTCGCTGTTGAATTGGCGAGTTAATGAACGAGTTGTTGTTGCGCACGTGCGTTCAATTCATTCGCTGCTTTGCATTGTCATAAATTCGCGAATCGAATTGATGAAACAAGGTTTAATCATCTGCATTGCAAGTCGGTTTTGCTAGTTAATGCTGCAATCGCGGTTTGTTTGTGCGTACGAATTACATGGGAATTAAAAATTTACATACCTTCGCCTGTATGTATGTACATACGTGTATGTGCAATGCTATCACTCGCGCAAAATTTAAATGCGCTAAAACAATTAATTGAAATGCACGAACAACAATAGCAATGGACCGTCACTGGCTGCATGACCTGCAAACGGTCTGCTGGCCACTAACCGCGCTGCGGCTCGCTTGCCGTTTACCGCCTAACGTAATGTGTGTGTGATGATCAAACGCTTAGCATCATGGCAAATTCAATTTAAAAACACAACATTTTTCCACATAATTACACGAATTACATGTGCATAGATAATAGCAGACGTCCGTCTGCCCGCCCCCATTTGGACATTAGCTGCAATGGAAGCTTCGCCGTAGCGCAGTGTGACTGGCACCGGCGACTCGTCGCGCTTTAATTGAAACTAAATTGAACGCTTTCACTCACAGCGACTGCAGTGTGGTCATGAATTGAATTATGCATCTGTGTATGCGAGGTAGTTGGTCAGCTAATTGCAACAACAATAGCAACAAGAGCAACAATCGCGCAGTAGTTTAAAATAGTAGCAAAAGCAACAAGTTCATTCAATTATTCTTATATTATATAATGCAAAAGGGGTAAATATATATATGCATATGTATGTATGTAGGTATTTTCACATATTAAGATACTTGAATGACAACCGACTTTATCTCTGTGCTAGCATCATGGAGACAGATTTGAGGATTTGAGAGACCAGAGACCACGCACTGGGTCCAGTTCTGACTCTACATTATACGATGATAGTTCATCCAGTTGGACTGAAAAAGAACCTCTCCTAGGCGAAAAGAAAAATACGAGTAGGTAGAGGAAACCAAAGACCACAGAAGTTGTTCCATGAATTTATATTTGTTGTTGCATTCCTCTTGTAAAAAGACTGTGCATTGTACCCATATGTTACTTATTATCATAATAAACATCAGCAATTATTTATCTTTCCTTCTCTTTTAGGCTGAAATGTGAAATGATCACTCGATCGCTGCCAGCATCAACCGTTTGTTTACTAATTTCGCCAAGTTTCCATTCAAACTTTTTCGCAACACAACAGAAATCTTTATTTCTCGTTTACTAAACACTCATTCAGCAGAAAAAGAGAACGAAAAAAAATGAAATAAAAAGAAACCACAGCAATTTTCTTCTAGGCCAAAAACCGAGTGCTCTACTTTATTTTAGATTGTCTTTAACATACATAAAGATTTGTGTGTAATATTATATTTTATGGTTTGCTTACACTCAGAAACATATTTATTACATACAGTTATGTACTTATGTATTTACATTTACGTGTAAATTTATTCAATCGCTTGAAAGATCTCAACACTAATTGAGCACTTAAAAATTTCGTTTTTTTTATGACTGGGTGCCGTTATACGTGTAGGAATTTCCATATGAAACGTCCTTGCAAAAAAAGAAATGAAAATATCACAAACATCAAACATCAAAAAAAATAATAAAAAAAACGAAAAAACCGAAAACAAAATTCAAAAATAAAAGATTAAAATATTTTTTCTTCGGAAGTATGCCCTCACACAGCTGGTTGGACGTATGCCCTCAGACACACCTCGTTTATTTATGTATTTATTTTTGATTTTTATTTTACTTTTTCAGTATTTTCTTTTATTTTCAAGTGGCATTGATTTAAACATTTTCGAAACGCTTCCACTTAAATATTTGTGGTCTCTTCACCTAACATCAATATTTCAAACATCTTTTTTTTTTACTTTTCAAAGATTTTTCAAAGCAATTAACACAATTATTTGCTAATTTATTTATTTCAAAAGTAGATTATTTAAAGTATGAATTTATTGGCAATCGCAAATGATTGGGAATTCGTCAAGAATTCGTGCATAATTTTGGCGAAAGGAATTGCTTTGAAGTCTTGAAAATAGCTGGCTTTCATATATAGGAGTGTGTATTAAATACATACATACATATGTACATTTGAAGCATTTAATTTATTTGTTTTAAAAGTAATGAATTTGCCAAACACTTTTTTTTAATTTCTGTGAATTATTACATTTTAGGGATAAATATCAAACAAAAAGTTTAACAAGCACATTCAAATATTTAAATTATTTTTTAAAATTATTAGTTTAATTATAATATATGATTAATTAGAATGTAGTAAAAATGAAATAAATTTTTAAATCTTCATATATTTATTTATTTATTTATTAAACTATTTATATATCAAATTCATAATTTTCGCTGACTACTTTATGAAATACAAAAACAGTGCAATCAAGCCAAAAATAAAACACATAGCAACAAATTTCTGAGCTTATTCACATACACGTACATATGTGTTATCAATCAAGCAGATTAGCCACTCAAGCAAACATTTGCATATAACACTTTAAGTATACATTGCACAAATCTATTCCTCTATTGGCTAGAAACTTGAATAAAAAACCCAGTTACGTCACACAATAAACAAAAAATTCGCAAATGAATATAAATAAACCAGGGAGAATGCTTTTCGCCAATTCTCTTTAGCCTGCCGCAACACTACTTCTGTTCCTCAATTAGCTTTGACAATTTGACATTTTGTTGGTAGATACATACGTAGGTGTAAATGCACTGCAGAAAATAAAAGCGTTTGCAAAAAATCAAAGTAAACAAAGTCAGAAAAAAGGAAATTCACTGTCAATGTTATACTAAAAATAAGAATGAACACTAGAAGATTGTTTATAAAATAAATAGAAAAATAAGAAAAGTGAGCCACATACAAATTTGAATGCGTAGATTTGTCTAATGTCACATGCACATAAACAAGTTTTAAATAAATCCACATTTTTCTTCTAAAAAAATGGTATTTTCTGCATTTTTCACTTATCTAATTTTAATTTCCTTTCAAAATAATGTCCAGAAAATTTAATAAAAAATCAGCATCCACGTTTTGGCACATTCTGTTAGCTGTCATCGCCACATTTCTCCTGCCTGAATGCATGAATTGACAGCTGACAGTTACCTTAAGCGGGCCTACACTAACGAGTACGAGTAAAGAGTTGCTTGTGTAAGTGCGAATAAGTACTTCCTGACAATTTCAAACTTTTCCTTATCTTTATACATACTATGTTTATAGTGTACTTCGATGTTGGCTTGGCTCAAAGAATTGTCAATATACGAGTATATAAATTTTGATGTTTCGCCAGACAAAGAGTAAATTTCTTTGTTTCATTTTCGACTCGTCTGAGAAGTTACACCAACGGCAAACCGGTTGACTACGGTTCTTCAATACTTTATTTGACTTCTTGCCTGTTGTTGGCTGAAATTGTTGCCTCGCATATTTTTGTTATAGAAGTTTATGACTGTCTCTGCCTTCAAATGGTTTAATCCTAACATTTATGAAACTAAGAAAAATATCGCAGCATAAATAGTTTTTTATTCAATTTTTTGTGTTAGTAGTAACTTTTTAGAGATGTAAAAAAAAAATAGAGAATTCTATAAAACGATTGAGCTTTGCGATTATTTTGATATTCAAGAATTGGTAGAGGCTTCCCATACCACTTGAGACCTTCCTTTACTTTTTCAATTACTAAGCAATGTTCTGAAGCGATTCGCCTCAATTTGCTGCTATTAAATATGCACAAAAACTGCTCATCAATAAATTTACCTTCGTATAACAGTAATTCTTCGCATGCAAATCTTTGGTTTTCTTCGAGAGATTACGCAACGTGGCGCCCGTGCAGGCGCATAAATACTTCAAGCTCGATACAACTTTCTTCTCAGCGCTCGTCGTATCGAGATCGTCATACGAATGGTATGAGCTGTTGCGACGTGACTTGGAGAGGGGTGTGGTGCATGATGAGTTTGTCGGTGATTTAAAGTACAGATCAAATGTGGGCGCCGACTTGTGATGACGAAAATGATGAAATTGTAATGTTTCCACCTTCGCTGTGTCCTTTTTCACGGCTTTCGTGTGAGCTGCATGTGGGGCAGGTGAGGGTAGGGGAGATTTCGGGGTACGTGGTGAGGGTGGTGGTTTTGGTGATTTCGGTGATTTCGGTGGTTGATGCGTGTTATCATTGGAATGTTGTTGCTGCTGCGGCTGCTGTTGGTCAATTATAACCAAAGATGGTGGTTTTAACACATTTTTAAGCTGTTGCTGTAATTGCTGTTGCAATTGTTGCTGCAATAATTTTTGTTGCTGTAGCAGTTGATGTTGTTTCGCTTTGCTTTGTAATAATGATTTGGGTTTCGGTGGTAGCGGTGGCGGCACACAGTTATCGAGTGAAGGCATTAAGCTGTCGCTAACTAGCTGTTTTTGTTGTTCCTGAGATATTGACGGCTGCTGATACTGCTGCTGCTGGTGCTGATGAAGATCTTGATGGTGATGGTGACTATGACTGTGCTTATGATGATGTTGTTGATGTTGATGTAGATGATGATGCTGATTCTGATGTTGATGCTTGCCTTGTTGCTGTTGTTGCTGAGCCTGCTGAGGTTGTTGTTGTTGCCTCACACGCACGTGATTGCTTTGTGTATTCTCGTGATGCTGGCAATTCCCGATATTGTCATGCAGTAAATTTTGCAACTGATGATGATCGTGGCTATGGCACTTTGTCAGCTTCGAAGGTTTCGGGGGTTTCGGCGGAGGTGGTGAGGTACGTGTGGGTCGAGGTAGGCGAGTCTGCTGCAAAGGTTGTTCACCGTTGTTGCTGCCGTCAAAGTCCGAGTCATCTACTGGGGTTTCACCTTCTATAGTTGTTGTTGCTGATATTGTATTCACTGCTGTCGCGTTGCCGCTTTCGATTATGAAACTCTGCATGTATGAAAAATGTGTGCACATAAGAGTCAATGAAGTCGAGCACGTTCAACGGACATGAGCCTGTGAGTATTTGTGAAAACGATTGCGTACGTACATATATATGTAACGAATGTGACACAAAATTACAGAATGGGTGGAAATAATATGAAAAAAGTTGATTGCAATCGATTGGAAAAAGTTTTTCATTGAATTTAAAATTACAATAATAAAAGAGTACTGAACCAGAAAACAATCTTTTTATTGCTCATACCTTTCCTTCCCTAAATTTTATTTAATTCCATTTAATTTTTCTCCAGTTAGGCGTAATATCGCCTTCCTCTTTCTCTCCGCTAATCCCACTCAAGATTTCAGTCCAGATGTCAACGATATAGTGGTCATTAGAGATAGCAAATTTGCAACGATCTCCGCTAATCAAATGAAATCAGCAAGCATAAAGCCAATTCAATCAATTCCATTGTATTTGCCAATCAAATTATCAGCGATGCTTGAGCAAAATAGCGCTTCGAGTTCAATGTCCATAGACGCATTGAACTCGAGCTTCAATTACAAATACAATTATCAATTAGAGCCACAGGCAAGTAACAATTGAGACAAAAACAGGCAGCGCTACATACATACAATACATAACGGCATGCATAGGAGCACAATTAAGCAATTTCAAAGCCAGCGCTCGTCCGCAATTGGCAAACATGGTAGTCAAGTGTTGCGTATACGCCCCTGACCTTGGCCAAGCAATTTTGGGGGTTATTCGTATGTGTGTATTTATGTATTTGACAAGAAGTTGCCCTGACCAGCAATTGCTTGATATCGAAGCCCATTGGCTATAAAAATTTCACCCGTTCGATTCAATGAACCCGGAGTGCGTTTCAAGTGGTCACATATTTGTTGTTACTCAAATGCCTACGTCAACATTCATATACAAGTGTAGCATTGTCATTGCTCTTCATTGTTTAAAAATATTTTTTTTTTGTTTGCGTTTTCGTCAGATTTAACCAATTAGTCTGTTGTCAAAAGCAATGAGTAAGAGACAGTCCAACACAGCTTGAGCTTGAGTCTACTTCAAGCATTTTGTGCGTCGGAGATGAGCTGAGCTGTCATTTGATACTTTTCGGTTGTATGTTGTTCATTGCTAAAGAAGAAAGCAATTGTCTTGTAAAAGTTATTGTTATTATTATTATTATTAAACTGCTGTAGCTATTAGCGATATGATCTTTTTTTTTTCTTTTTGTAGCCGACTTTATGTCTCAAGTGCCCCAAAGTCAGTATTATGCGCCATAAAATTGTTTTCGTGGATTTATGGTGGCGTATGTATGAAGTGTATGTATGTATCATTTTCAGTTTTTACGCAAATTGTTTTTGGTAGATTTAATTTAGCTTTTTATTACAGTTAACTTTGATAAAGAGATGTATATTTATATACTCAAAAATTCTTCAGCTGAGCAAGAAGTATTTCATGCGGCGAAGCAATTAGTTTTAAGAGGTTAAAACTCAGAGTATATATATATATATAATTGGCGATTTTCCGCCGAGCTCCTCCTCCAATTTGTCGTTTTGCGCCTTGATATTTTTCCAACAAATGGAGGGAACTACAGTTTATACAAAGCCGCCTCCGAATTGCTGATGTTTTTTTTTTATCAGGAACCTTTATTTCATGTCAAAAGTACACTCGAAGGGGTTGACATTCCCTGCCAAGGGGCGACCGCACAGGGATTTGAACCCGAGCCATCCGAATGGCAGTACGCAATGCTAACCGTTCGGCTACCGCGGCCGCCTCAAAGTATAATAATGGCTTTTAGCACGAATGAATGAATCAGAACATATTTAAGATTTTTTTCTTAAGATCCTTAAAGGCTATTTTTTCATTGTAAATCGTGTCGTATAAGAAAAAGCCTTTAAAATAATTAACTGCGAATAGGTTAGGTCGAAATGGCTGGTGGGCATCAGCACACTTCGGTCACCAATCGACTTTATTCTAATATTATTGAATATTCCTTTCATAGCCCAAAGCGATCGACGCAACTTTTCATCCCCTACTTCGCTCTGACACTGATTCCTGATCTTAGCTGTGGCACCCATTACCACTCGGCATATTCGTGGTGGGTTCGGTCTGTGCACAACCTTGTATTGGAAATATTTATTTGTGAGGAAAAACTGAAAAAAAAGTTAATTTTCTGGTTGAATATAAGAAAGGTGACTTCATTAGGGCTTCAAGCCAAGCATTAATTAATAGTCTTTTATAAAACAGCCCTTGAACTATTTCTCATGAAAATCAAATTAATTATTGAAAAATTCAGAGCATTTATGTTCATACCTACTTATATGTATGTGGATACAGTAGATACAAAAAATCGGTGATTTAGTGCACTAAAGTGAACTACGTGTAGTATGCAAATGCTTCAAAGATATCGAAAACCTTTCACAGTTAATTACTTTACTTAAGTATTGCATTATAATTAATTTATTGCCCTGCAATTCATATTTCCATTATGTTTTCTTTTTTTTTTCTTTTTAGATTTGCACACACAGTGGAGCTGTGAGAGTCTCTTTTACTATATTATTATTGAAAACGTATATGTAATTGATGTATACATATATATACAAATCGTATAAGTTTGCACTTAGCACACCGTTATTTGCATTTTCAAGGAAATCTCATTGAAATTATGGCAATTCATTTGAAATTGTTTTTCTCAAGCCTGGAGGTCAACATTAAACATTAAATGCCTTAAATGATGATTCCAGCCATAGCCAGGTAGCGAAGTAGTACCCGTTGCATCAGTATTTACAAACAAATGCACATGAATATGTAAGCTATTCGGAGCACGAGATTGTATATTTTCAAACTTATTTAAGCAAATATTATCAAACTCAACAAAATCTGTGTTTATTGAATTCGAATTTCGATCAAAGTGCTACTCAAGTATTTTCACCTCCGGGGCATTGCCTTCAAATTGTCAATGCAATGAACGAGTGATAACGGTATTTCACAGCCATATTGGCTGCAGAATGTGTATATATGGGTATGTGATGTTCTGTTTACTTTTTGCTACCCAACGGCGCCACATAAACACTTCCTTCTAAAGGCGCAACCGACTCGCCGCCCGTCTAATGAGGTGTTCGAAAATTCCACATCCTCCACGCACTCATTGCAGTGGCGCTCTATATACGGCAAGAGCAGAGACTTTATTTCAATGGTTTTCATAAATTTTATTTTACTTTTTTGGTCATTTAGTGTTAGAAAAATATGTGGCTTCCGTGAGGAAGTGTGAGAAAATGTAGTTGTAAACATATTAGAACATCGCTAGTGAGTGCATGAAACGCAAATGTCAGACAAAACATTTTTGAAAGCGCGAACGCATCTACAAATATATGAACATATATATATATAATTGGCGCTTTGTATCCGCTGGAATGATTTTCGGCCGAGCTCCTCTTCCAATTTCTGTTGTGCGTCTTGATGTTTTCCCAACTAGCTGCCTCCGAACAGCTGATAGTTTTTATGAGGAGCTTTTATGTCACGGCAGAAATACAGTTGGACATTCCCCGCCTAGGGGCGGCCGCAGTTAGAAAAATTGGTTTTCTGTAATTGCGGACGTTGGTCGAACTACATTTGCCAATTTCACTTTGGCCTTTCTCAGCCTTTCTTAATATTTTTTTGCTATTGCGAATGGGCGAATAATCCGCTCGCAACTGTAAAAAATAAAATGCAGAAAAACTTATTTGCCAAAAAGAATCTCTATGATTGCAAAAATAATTATTAATAAAGCCATTTGTACCCCGAAAAAAAAAAAGATTTTTACTACATTAAATTGGTTTTAAACATTTCCTGCGCTGTTTATTAGGTAAAAGCGATATCAGCTTTTTAACTCATTTTCTGATTCCTACAAAAATTAATTACTAATTTTAATACCAAATTTAATTTATTTACAGCTCTATAACTGCTCTAAATTCTGTTCCTTAGTTTCATAAAACTCGCCGAAAAGTCACGAAAATCGCACGCCTGCCGATAACCTTTCATGCCACTTAAAGCTTCAAGCTTTAGATAGATTAGATACGTGCTTGAAGCTTCACGAACATATTTATTGTTCAAGTCCAAGTCCAAGTCCACTAGCATTATCAAATTCACGCCAATTCTGGGAAAAATCATGCCGGTAATTATTTTATTTGAACCGTCAAATTATTTTTTTTCCTAATCGTTTCTTGAGCAAAAACTCTCCGAGGGAGAGCATAAAAAAGTTGTCAACAATTTGTTGCTTTTCGTTTTTGTTTTTTTTTTTTGCTTGCGCTACAGGAAGCATTAATGATGTAATCAACAAAAGCAAATAGTATATATGTATTATATGTCTGTATGTACGTATGTACGAGTGTCTCATAATCTTTAATGTAAAACAGTTTCAATTTGCTTTAAATTTGTACAAAAAATTAGTGTTGGGCACGAATACTCGAGGTATACAATAATGTCGTTGGACAAACAACAAACAGCTGCTGCTGCGACGAGAGAAGCTCTACAGAGAGAAATTCCTAAGCAGCCAAATTGTTTTACATACATACTCGTATGTACGGTTATGCGAGTATGTATATAAAATTCATGTGTGAATTGTTTCTTATGTCACATACTCACACATGCATACATACATACATACCTACTCGTATGTACATCATAATCGCCATAATAAAAGCATGTGTTATGCGGGCGTATCGCTCATTAAGCAGCAAACTAATTGCCTTCAACACCATCGCGGAAGCAACAACACCAACAATTGTTATGTCTTCGATGTGCAAGAGGGAATAAAAAGTGAAATAAAGTAGCTTGTATTGTTTGAAGACTGAGCTTATATATTTTACATACATACATACAAACATGCAAACACATATGCAAATATTAATAAGAAAACACATATTTTTTGCGCTGATTAGCGTAATTTGAGCAAAATTTCTGAAATAAATCCAAAGTCGAAATTTAATTTGAGGTTATGTATGTATGTAAATAAAATATCTGATTAATTTGGAAGAGCACATATGAGCGCACAATTATATATGACTCATAAGAAAGTTTTGGTTCAGTCATTAATCATAGTACTGGAAGCAACAAACAAAACGACCTAAAATGATGGAGTTCCAATATATACATACTACTGTGCATCCTAAAGGATCCGTGACAAAATTAGAAGAGAGCAAGCTCCTTAACAACAGCTGGTAGATAATTGTTGCGGTTAACACTCATCATGATAAGCTTAAGTTAAGGTATTGAATAGGGTTTTATGAAAAAAGCGCCAAAAAGTTGTGAAGCTAAAATCGGAAAGCGCAGTTCCCTAAACATGAGGACTAAAGAGTTCCCTTTGGGACCTGGTGTGGGCGACTTCTAAGGGAATCGAAAAAGAAGGAATAACCTGAAACCTTGGCGGAAGTCACGCACTTACCGGATTGGGTCGGCACACTTTAAAGACATGAGAGGAATAGCGGTAGAAAATATACGTCAACTCCACACTCGGTTTGATCTTACTCAGTTGCTCCTGGTTATAGTGTATTATTGGCAACACCACCAAAAAAAGAGTAACTTAGAGACAATTTCCATTTTCGACTCAAACTCAACGACACAGAAACTCTGTGTGCATTAATCATCGCAGTCTTAAAGTAATGGGGTGGGAACTTTTATATTTTCTGAACAAAGAAATAAGCACGTCATGAATATATATGTATATACGTGTATGTATGTAACATACAAAAATTGTGAATACTGGCATTTAGATTTGCTTGAGAAATACAGTAGTAGAAAAACGCTTAAAAGAAGATTAGCACAGCAAATCGCATATTTTCCAAACGCCTCTATTCGACTTTTTTTCAACATTTCAGTGTATATTCGTTTGCACAGATACTTGAATATTTGTGTTTAATATTTCAGTGACTTTTTGGTCATTTATCATTCTCTTACTCGGCGAAATTTTCTCAGGAAAAAGGCAGAAATCTTTTGCGTTTTCAATGGTGAGAAGGAGGGCGAGGTGAATATGTTATTTTTCCAACTCAAGCTCATCAATTCATGTAGAAGGCTGTTGTTCATACTTACATATATATGTACATATACAATAATATAATATAATTGGTGCTTGGTAACTGCTAAAGCGATTTTCGGCCGAGCTACTCCACCAATTTGTGGTTTTGCATCTTGATCATGTTCCAAAAAATGGAAGAGTTTACTGATTATTCTAAGCCGCCTCCAAACGTCCGATTTTTTTTATGAGGAGCTTTTTTTCATGCCAGAAATACACTTGCGATGGCTTGAAATTCCCTGTGGATGTTGGTCGAGCCAGGACTCGAACCCTAGCCATGCGAATATTAGTGTGCAATGCTAACCACTCGGCTGCTGCGGCCGATACATTTATACGTAAATATGTATGCATGCCTGTATGTGTATGTATGCCACATCACATTTAGAAATATCAACAACATCCGTTTTATGTTGCTGCAACTGGCAGCAATATTGCCCCACACACATGTATAGATATTAAAACGTATATACATTCGTATATATGTCTATGTAAGTATGCATTTACACTTATGACAACAGCTTGTTTGCAACGATTAGCCGCTACTAAGCATTTCGTTCGCACAAAAAGTCGACGATAAAAGTCGATGTCTGCCGTGAGTGTGTACGCACATAAGCACATATTGTATTAATATGAGTATGGGTATGTATGTTTGTCGGCACACGACTCTCCTTTATGTGCCTCGCTCACGAGCATGTTTACATTGATAAATATGGCATATCAGCGCTAGGGCTAGCGAAATGGGCTACCCTAGGTGTGTTTTGTGTACTCAATATTGTTGTTGATATGTATCATAAACATGTACATATACATATATACATGTGTACACCTCCATGTTTTAGTTTGATATGTAAATACAGTTTGGCATATTATTCACTTTTATATTCATTGACGAGTATGTATATACATATGTATTTGTATGTAGGTAAGTATGTCGGTGATTTTGTGCGCTCCATTGTTGTCATTTGACGCTGTCAGGCTGAATGGCGTGCTTCCCCCTGCACAGTTAGCGGCGCTGTCAGGCGTATTGTATGAATCACAATGTCTCAAATGTATTGTACATACAAACGTACATATGCATTGATAAATATGTATCTACAAGCTTTGCAAAAAACTATATGCACATATCACATACGTACATATGTACATATAATGGTATATATGAAAACAGTGAGGGCTGTTCACTTTATTATTAAATAAACTCGTACTTATACATATACATATGTACATATGTTTATATTGTTGCAAATAGTCTTGTAGTTTATATTTATAAAATCCACTAGAAAGAGGGTGTATTCAGGCTTTTTTGAAGCATTCGGGGTGGCAGCTGACAACCGCCCATTTACATTTATTACATTTATGACAAAATTGTTAATGTGTCATGTTTGATGTTCAAATGTAGACGTATGTATGTATGTACATATGAGTACTCTGACAGCTGCCTGATTGACAGAAAAAAGGCTTGAATTACATGTTTTTACATTGCAATTGTAAATTTAGAATTTACAAATGTTGACCTTTAGTTAGTTGAGCTTCTGAACGGCTGGTGGATATTTTTTATGTAATCAGTGTATGTACCGTGATAGGTTTTTAACTGCTTTATCAAACCGCATTTATCAGCAACGTTGCGATCGACCATAACACGAAACGTATGGGAGAGATATCGAGAGCTATCCAGCCAGCTTAATTGTAATGATGGTGAAAAGTAAAGGTGACCAGGGTCTCTAATCGAAGACCATAAAAAATACCTTCCGTCACCTATCTTAAAGCACCAATACGGGAACCAAGATCTTACTGGTTGAGCAAAGAGTTTATAAGTCGCATTAATCAGTTTCTTGGTAGAGTTTTAGACAAAGTGACCCTTTATCGAGTAAACGTCCAAGACACGCGTCCAAATCTAATGAAAATTCGATCTCACCAACAAGTCCTGTTTCTTGGTGCAACATCGTCCACATTGGTTAGGTCCTAACTAGCCTCGAAATTTTTTTTATGAAATACTTGGTGGTATAGCAAAAGAAGAGAAAGACTTTAATTCCATTGTAAGCATCAGGTAGAGCACAATCCCGCTTTACCTTGACTGTCGTGCTACTGTTGACTCGGCTATAAGCGCGTACATATGCCAATGAAGAAGTAGATATTGACATTCATGTGAATTAGCTTTAATTCTTCTACACTTTTCATTTCAACTAACTAATTTAAAACTTTTTCCACGCAAAACAATTGCAATCAACGAGAAGACATCAAAACTACAAAACTTAAAAGAAGACTAGAACAAAGTATTTGTCCATTAAACAAAAAGGGAAATACCTACAAACTTAATTAAGACAAGAAATTAAATCAACTCAAACTACGAGTACACACATATGTACAAACTCGTACGTATATACAATCGTTTTATTCACAACACTCCCTTGGTCAAGTAACCCTACCATTTGTTGTTTGATGATGAGTGCAATTCGATTTATTTACTATTTTTGTTGTTGCGCCAACACTGCTGGCTACCTTTCCGTTGTGTCGATTGTTATTGTTGTTGTTCCTTGTTTTCTTATTGCTGTATGCTCAATCAAATTGTTGAGGTAAATTCGTTAAGAGCATGACGAAGGCCTGTGTGCGGGTGGTTGGCAACTCAACTCCACTGCCACTTCGTTACCGCCGTTAACTAATTCGCTGCACAAAAGGTCAACGAGTTGAGGCGCACATTAAAGTTTCTGAATAAACAACACATGGGCTGTTTCGCGTATTACACTTCGTATAGACGTATAGCGTACGTTTGTATGTAATATATAGAATGTAAAATATTCAGAGAATTCGTTAAAGTATTTTGCTGAGGCGCTCGTTTTTTGTTACACTTCTTCTTTACTTACACTTATATATTTTTTTTTCTCGTGTAGGCTGTGTTGTTTGCTGTGCGCTGAAAAATCGATTTTCATTTATCGATGCAACAAAAATGTGGCAAATTTAAAGCCTAAAGAGCAACGTCATCAACAGTTTTATCAGCCTTATTGTTGTTTATATATATATGTGTGTGTGTGTGTGTATTTCAATATGTGTTTGTATGTTTTTGTTTGATGCTTTCGTAACACCACTGAGTATTATTATTTATTCGAGCTCGTCGAGTTTACGCGAGAAGGCACAGGTTATGTGGGCATGAAATAGTCGGTCGATCTTTGGCTGTGTTTTCTTTGTCTGCAACTATTTAACGCAACTGTTCTACCGACAAAAGCAACAACAAAAAAGTTTCCGCTTCCGTTTTCTGTTGTCTGTTTAGCTGCAGCTGATGTCGCTGCTATTACACTGCGAGGACCTTAACACACACACACGCGCTCAGGCACACTAATACATTTGCATGCGAATGGGATCGTTGCACTATATTTTATGACGACTCGCAGACAAGGTGTGCTTTCATTTCTGTACAAATGTATGTATATGTCTCTGCTATAAATAGAAGACTAACAAAGCTTTTTATGTCCTTTTTCACTGCAGTTAGTAATTACAGAGGAGTTTAAGTCGTCCACTGGCGTAGTTTATAACACCGCACTCTATATTCCACTACACTTAACACGCCCTAAGCACTTCCGTTCCGTGGCATACATAGAGACTGTTTGAAGTCTCGGCTCAACAAAATTTTGCCTAAAGTCTCAAGTCGGGCAGCAACAAATCAACGCCGCCCTCCGCCGCCTCATAAACTCGCAATTTGCTTAATTTAATTCGAATTAAAATCAAAATGTGTCGACTACGTGAGAGCACGAGTTCGTTCTTATAGTTTTTTTTATGTCTGTCTGCCTGTGTATAAAACGCGCCGCTTATAACGAGACTGAAAAAGTTGATTGTTGTGTTTATAAACTAAATGTTGTATACTCCTGTGCACAAAAACAACAACAATATGTATATATGTATTTACGAAGTATACGAAGAACAACTATATATTATATGTATGTATGCGTTAATTTGGAAATCCTATTATTTATTTATGTATTTTCTTCTTAATCGTGAATCGTTTTAAGCGTCACGCGCGCGTAACACGTCAGTTCAATCCGCCCGTACAAGCGCACTCGCTTTAAAAGAATTTTAAGATTTTTTTTATTTATTTTCTTTCGCATTAAAAACGCTTAACACTTTTTAGGGGGAAAACGTACAACACGCACAGCTGTTACGCGCTGAAACGTTCGTCACCAACAATTGCCGAAACCGCACTCAGCGTTCTAAGTGGTGCGCATTCATTTCATACCCGCTGATTCTGTATTTCCATTGAGCGTTTAGTGTATTTTGTGCTCTCGCCACTAGGGAGGGATGACGATGCCGTTTTGCCGACGTCATTAACTGGTCATACAACAAGCAAGTAGGCAGGCATACAGCTTTAGAGGAACACCACCACTACCACCCTCGCTGACAAGCTAAGGCAGGCGCACACTTACACCACCCTCGGTCTCGCGCGCCACCCTACTGAGTAAAAAGTACAGCGCACAGTGGGTTTGCGCAGAGCAAGAGGTTGAGAAAATGTTTTCCTTTTCATAAGTGTTTGCTTTTTCAGAAATATCGAGTTTTCTCTCTTTTTTTTTTCTTTGCCGCAAATAAATATACCTTTGGTTCTTACTCAGCCCCACCAAACAGCGGACAGTTCCTTAGAGGAGTTCTTATTTCAAGTCCGAAATACACTCGGCAGAGTTGACTTTCTGTACCTGTCGAACTAGGACTCGAACACTGGTCATCCGAATGGCAGTAGGCATTGCTAACCAATCTAGCTCTGCATATGTTTATTCTCCTTTTCTGAGCTTACTTTCGTTTTGTTATCCTTTCACTTTCAGAAAGCTGTCTTTAATTAGTTGAAATTACATATCAATGATAAGAAAAATACTTAACCAGCCAAGAGATATTACATTATTAAGCTCATAAAAAAAATTACAACAACACCCATGATTCAAGGCGATCAGTTCCACTGTGCACATGCACACCACCGCGTTTACAAACAAAATCCCACTCAACTTGAGGCGCACATTTGCGCTCTTAGTCATGACTCTCTTCAAATTTGTACTTGTGTTCTTCCCGCGCATTTCCACTCTCTGTTTATTCTTTCGCTCGATTATTTTTTTAATTTTCTAGTTTGTTATTGTGTACTATAAATCTTAGCTGTCACTCCGTGCGTCAAAATCTATTACAATTTTATGCTGATGGCAACATAAGACCAAACAAAGTTGTATTGAACAGTAACTCATATAGAAATTAAATTATATAAATTAAAAAAATTGTATTAAATTAAATTTATTAAAAAAAATATGCTAAAAATAAAAATTAAAAAAAATTAAGTAAATCATTTTTTATTTATACATATACAGTCATTTGTTTGGATGTATGTTCAGTGAACCTCGATCTCCGATTGTTTTATTTGTCAATTTATTCCCGGGAAGGCTTGTACCAAATTCTCTTTTTTCGGGAGGTGGACCAGAGGCTGACCTATTCGAAAAAAATGGTATTTATGGTGCGATTTTCGTCAAATTTGGTACTTAAGTGACTTTTTGCTTAGATTAGCAGGAAGACTAATCATCTTTCCGGGAAGAGAACCAGGGAAAAAATTGGAAAATCGTATTTACTTGACACTGGATATATAGGCGATCTTCTCGCCGCAATCTGGACCACAGATTGACCTCCTTCGGCTTATGAGGAAGTGACCAACACAACGATAACACAATGAAAATATAATGTTTTGACTTATATAATAAGTAATAAAATCGATATGTATGTATTTAATTCGAAATTTATGGAAATCAAGTAATCACAAAAATTCAATGATATCACAAAAAAAAACATAATTTTATTATCACTAACATTTACATAAGCTTTTATGTAAGATTCCAAACAGTTAACCAAATTCATAAAATCTTTGCATAATCAAATGCATAAAAATTGCTTTCAATTACATAGCAGTAATACTAAATTCATAATGGAGCCAAATTCATGCATGGAAAACCTTAACGCATTTTTTTGCTCTAACTCAATAAAAATTAATTAAAATTCATAAGCACGGCACGTGCCTGTTTCACTTTAAATACCACTTTGGCACTTTTGTTGGTGTAAAGTATTACTGGTTATTTGCAATTTTGCTTTAGTCAACTCATTCGTAACTAACTGGTTGTAAAGAAAATTATCCAAAGTACGCGCGGCTAAGTAGAGAAGTGAATAGTGTAAAGAGAAACTAACCAAGAAGAGTTTACTTTTCAAAAGCATTGATAACAGTATTTTCAAAGGTACTTATGGCCGTATTAATAGTAAAGGCCGAGGACTGCATTATAGGTTTTCAAGATCGATCGGTATAGACTAAATAAATGGTAAACTCAAACACTTTGTCCAAAATTTCGCCACAAAATGTGACGAAAGAATTTTAACTTCTATTAATGTGGCCAAAACTGTACTCTATTAATACCTTTAGTTTGCGCAACCTTAAGATCAGCGCGTTTCACTCCATAAATGATTTATTTTCGCACAAATATGGGATATTAAGATAGTATTAAATTAAATCAAATACTTTTTCAAACAACATTAAATCGAAAAATAATAGAAACTATGTGTGTAGAACATATATATATATATATATATATATATATATATGTGCATATATTTTCTTTAATGCGCCGATGTTTGTGTCAATGCTAAAATAACTACCAAGTAGATATGTATGTATGTGTGAAACAGGTGTAATTACAAAATGCACAGCCTATAATTAATGAGCAGAGAGAGTAAATTGAAAAAAAGTCGATTTGACAACTTTTACAGGAAAATATCAGAGCGAAAGTGTCGCTAAGCTCACCTTTAAGCAAAATCATTAATAAGCGTATTGATATAAAACGATTTGTTTGCAAAGAAAATGAAAGTAAACCACAAGAAAAATTGCGCAAAATAATTTTCATATTAAAAAATAATTTATTAAAACGTATTTAAGTGAAAACTCTCACTGTTTGGTAATATAAATAAATTGGACTATGGAAAGCATAAACTTTTCGTGTAATTAACAAGAAAAAAGTTTTACTTTTCCAATTTTTTCTACTTATTTTTAACATTTTTCATGCTTTCATATTAGTCTCACATCATTTAGCATAGTTTATTTCTTTTCATTATTATATGCCGCACACACTATTTTAATATTTTATCACTTTTATGTATATACGTGTATGTATTTACGTATGTATGTATGTGTGTATATTTTTGTGTGCCCAATCAATTTAGCCCACATCAAACACTGGGTGGCTGCCATAAAAAAAGTCTCTAATTTCAAATCGCAGTTAATTTACATAAAAGAGAAATCCTCTTAATTTGTGTTTAATCGCAAAAAAATATTAAATTTTAAGTCTAGAAGCTGTTGAATTAGCGTTAAAAAAGGCAAAATTAGCACATTCATAGTCGCCATAATTGCGCTAAATGGCGAAAATAAGGAAAACGTTGTCGAAGAAATGATTTCACACAATCAAAATATGTATATATGTATGTATGTACTTCCATTCAGAAAAGAAATGAAGCGAGCGAGTAGGCCAACAATTGAGCTGCTAAAATTCAACTCGAGCGTAGACTTTAGATAAAAAATTTGAAATAATTCAACTTAAATAAGTTCTGATTTTCTATATAAATAAAGCCTTCAGATATGCATTACAAAAAACTATTTTTAAATTGTTTTAAAAATATAAATGTGGAGTAAAAAAAAAATATTATCTGCATTTACTTTTTATATAGCTGTCATACATACATACTTACATATGCATATACGAGTATGCAGGTGCATATACATATACATATAATAAGTATAGGGGAATGTTTGTATGTTTTACTTTATTTCAACTGTTACTAATTTTTATGGTTTTTTTTTTTTCTATATATAAATTTTCTAATTTCTTCATCACTTTTTACTGTTGCATGTATACTCGTATATACATATGTATATTTCTACTCACCAAACTATCGGCAACATTTTGACTCATTATTTTTGTGCCAGTTGTGGTCGTGTACACGCAATACTGTTATTATTATTAATATTATTGTTATTATTGTTGTTGCTGTCGTTTTTGATATGTTTGTGCGCAAACTCAAGCGTAGAGATTTCAATTTCCGGATTAACTTGCAACAAACACAGCTGCCGACGTCGTCGCGGCCACATTTTGGAATGCTGTTGCAAAGCTACCGTTGACCACAAACAACGGGAAAATGCAATTGAAAAGACTATATATTTTTTTCGATATATATATATATATGTATTTGGTTCGTAGTTGTATACAAATGTGTTTATTTATTATATTTTATTTTTTTTTTTATGGAATTTATGAGTTTCGCGCTGAGTTGTGGCTGCTCCGGCTCATTTGCTGCTGAAGACAGACTATTCAATTGACTTTCTATAAATTTCGCATCGTTGCTACTGTAATTTTGGATTTATCACGTGCACAACACCTATACACATATACATTTCAAGACGCATTTATTTGAATTTATATTTTGTTTTATTTAAATTTTTGTTGTTGCCTATTTCCTTTTACACAATTTCGACCCACAAAGTTTCTCACACGATTCGCTATTTTTATTTGCATACTTTTTTAACATTTCTTTACGCTTTTACACAATCTCTTTTTTACTGCTGCGGACGTTGCTGAAAAGCTAAAATTTGCTGCTGAAATTGTTTGCGTGTGATTTGTATGAAATGTTCGTACAATCAGATATTTGGACAACTCTGTGATTGCGCTGCTGATTGACAATTCGTATGCGTCGTCACTATTCTGCAACTGTAAACACAAACCGAACATTAAAAGTAACGAGCGGACACTCGCCGGGGGAATTATTATTTTGCGGTTGTAATTGGCACGCACGATTTCTTGAAGGCACTAAAATAATTACACAAGAAAAAGTGTTTTCCGTTGCTGAAATATTTTTATTTATTTTATAAACAAATTGCAGTAGTAAATTTTGTTATACACAAATAATCACTCTGCAAAAGTCAACGTTTGTGCGTCACTTATGAATTGATGTACATATACGTGTAATACATATTTAAATTTTCACATTTGGCTATCAACATTTTGCGTCCACCAACCGAAATGGTCAATGCTTGAATTCCAACGCGAACGTTTTCCGCATTCTTTGTAAATCGAATGGCACGGCGGCGTGTTGCAACAGCAATTAGCAAATTTTACTGCTCGTGCGCCTATTCAAATAAACGTAGATACTGGTGTGTGTATGTGTGCTGGTGATTGCTGGGTAATTAACCTGACCACTTTTTCTTTGTTACAATCTCTTTTTCGTTTATGTTTATTAGCGAATTTCGGGATTTGCTGGAAAACCTTAAGCATTTTTAAGATGAACCTATAAAGGCATATTAGTTCAGTGCACACTGACATCCGTAAAAGTGTGTTTCGCAGAGAGCGTACGCAAAGCTACTAGTAAGCCCTGTTGTACCCAGTGCACAGCCGGATTAGAAATTTATATCCTTGAACTTGATTTAAAAAAAAAAAAAAACATGAGTAAACACAAAAATTCAAGGCATGCTTTTAGGCGCAGTGACCCTACTTCCCCTTGCAACTTTATTTTTTATTACTTTAACTTCACTACCCCACTAATTTACACCTGTGATTAGCTAAAAGCGAAAAAGCCGAAATGGCGAAAGCATTGAAATCAAAATTGATTCTTCAGTTCGAAAAACTTTCCAAAAATTTTTATCCATGAAATTTGACTGTAATTAAAATTACAGCATGACAGAAAGTTTATTTCATGCTTTTATTCGAATTCTCGAACACCGACTATTACATTTTTGGGCAAACAGTTGTCAGAAATACAGTAGAGTACGTTTATTGGGTATATTTTTTAACTGTTTAAATACAGTAATTTCGCCATGAAACAAAACTTAGAAAACATTCACTGGAATTCATGAACAGTTAATCTTTCATCTTGCGATGTTATTGCCTCCAGCAATGACAGTACCGACAGGTCTGCAACAGGTGAAGCAAGACATAAATACATACATACATGCGTACAGATGTATGTCATACGTGTAACTATGAAGTTTTGAAAATACCATTCATTGTATGTACCAGCAAAGACCTGTGTCAAGCAGAACAGTCGCGAAGAAATCTTCATCAATGACTATTTTCGGCGAATTTCTTATGAATAAAGATAAAAAAACAGAATAAATATCAAATATTTGTACATCGCACGGCATCAGATGACGCTTTTGTGCGGTGAACTAGAGACACTGAAGGCGATACGTATGAAAATGTGGTTGAGCAGGCAGAGACCGCGATGTCTGCTTCTTTTCATATTACAAATATTTCACATCAGCTACATGATGATTGTTTATATGTATATATATACATTTTTTTTTATCATTTGCCATAACAAGCACTCGAAGAACTAATGCAAACATAACATAAGGAGGAGCTCAGCTCGATCGGAGCCGAGTTTCGGACAATGCAATGCCAAATAGGTCAGCAATCATTGTATTTACATACTCAAACATAATTATTATTAAATACTACATTGAAAATTTACCAACAAACGCAAGCTAAAAATGTCTAAAAAAAAAAGTATTTAAAACATTATAATTACGATGAAAACCTTAGGAAAAAGTATATAAAAATAATAAATTCGCGTGAAATGAATAAGCAAATAGAAATACCGTCTCAAACTGGCATTTTCAACAGTGTCGCCTTCAAATGCAAAAGTAGCTGTCGAGGTACCAAAATTCCAGCTGTCTTCTATTTATATTACTTTCGAAAGATTTGAATATTTTCGATATTTCTATACCGAAATTATTTTATCTAGCAAACAGCCGTGAATATTCAAAATTAATATATCCCTGTACAAAACACCGCGGGGTATAAAAATCACTCCATTAAATTTTGAAGAGCACCAAAGACACAGATGAGATTAATGCTTGAGAAAGAGTGGTTTAACAAAGAGTAGCTTGCAGAGCAGTGCTGCATAAATCTTGCAGAGGGAGTTTTCAAGAAGGGCATGGTAAATACACAGAAAATGTTTGTAAAATTCAAACATTAAAGTGAAGTAAATTAAACAGCCGAGCTACGGAAGGTAAACTATTTGACATTCATCGGCTATGTTGACATACATACATATTTGTTTGCATGTGCTTGCAGTGCGTCGCTGCGTACGTGTTGGTATGTTGGTACTACATGAATGTCCCGTGTCGTGTGTGTTTCAGTTGGCATAAAACATAACTTTATGCTACTAATTTTACGATATTACGCTTCACCAGCGTTCATTGTAGATACGAACAGAGTTCCGGCAGCATGATGATGGTTCATTGACAAGCAACTGCTTGCTATAAATGCACGTAAATATGAAAATGTTGGAGTATTTGCACCTGGTCTAGTGTGTGCGTTGAATCTCTTTGAGCGAGATAACGTGAGAGAGCGTGGTTAAGTGAAACTGAGCTCCAATATCGGCGGTAATTTGCTCTGCTCTATAAATTTATGACGTTAATATATCTGTATGTATATTTATTTGTTGTTATATTTGTAATTTATTTATTATTTTATTTCTTTATTGGCTCGATTGCCAATTCTATGTTAATAGTTTCAGGAAAGTCGCCAATTTAATACATTTTTTATTACAGTCTTTTATTTGAAGATGCTTCTCACTTGTTGAGCAATGTAGACTTCACCATAAAAACGGGCGTGAAGATTTCTAGAAACAGCACAAACATGGGCGCACTACGCCTTCCGCAATTCAAAACAGAAAAAAAATAAATTTTTGTTATTCTTTCAACCAATCTTCTGCTAATTTTCTTAACAACTTTTATTATTGTTCTTCAGTTATAAACTAAGAAAAAAGTTTTTATGTACATATATGTATATGAGATTTAAATTAATTATACCCAAGTCCTTTTTTTATTTATGCTATATGTATGTATGTATGTACATTAACTTGTATCTTGAGGCGCAAACATTCTAAATACATTTCTTGTCAATTTTGTTTATCTTCTACGGCGTATGAATATTTCGCATTTATGTAGATTATTATGTATTTTCTCCTACATCTAACTATTCTCCATAAAATTTCTCATTTTTCTAGTTGTAAATTAAAACTTTTATGCACCACTAATTTTCTATTTATTTTGTTTTGTTTAAAATGCTCATCACAATCACACGTGTGTTATTGTTTTTGCACTTCATTTTGTCCAAATATCTTTGTGTTTTTTTTTGTAAAACAAGAATCTCACAGCACTTATGTGGAGTTGTTGTTGTGCGGGGGCTGACAAGCAATTTGCACCGGCAGCACCGACAATCAACAGCTGTCCAACTGACGGGCACAATAGCAACAATAACAACAGAGATCAACCAACTTGAAATAAAAACCGAAAAAGAAAAGCTTGACTTCTTTCCACTTCACATTCGCAAAGCCAAGTTGGCAAAACAACGAACATCACCGCTGTTGGCAATTTCCGCATATGGCGTGTTGTATATCGAATTTTTTTTTATCGATTACCACTCTTCGCGCTCCACCACACTTCTCCAACAAAAGTTTTAGCTTTTTAAACGGTCAACTGTTGAGTTGTAAAATTTGCTTTTCGGAAATTAATTCTTTATGTTTGAGCTATTTTTTTTAGTCAAATAATTTATGCTGTGCATGTGTGTGTGGTTTGCTGGCTATTAATACTTAAATGCCGTAGTATGGGCCGAATAGGAGACAGAGATTGGTAGAAATGATTGGTTGAATGGACCAGTCTCTTAAGAAATATAAACACATTTTTATTTAAAATAGTTTCGCTTTATAACTTTTGAAATTAATCGTATGTATGTGTGCATGAGCTCGCTTTTGTTGAACTTTCCACATTTGAAACGTACAAATATTATGTAAAATTTAGACTTTTTTTCATGTATCAAACAAAAAACAAAAACAAAAACAAAAACTGGGTACAAAGCTTGCAAACAAACGATGACGCTCCGGCATAGAGTTTAGTTTAAGTTTGCCATTTGCGTTCACGTCCACGTCCGCTCCGTCGCCGTCGTCGCCGTCGCTTGAACAGTCCAAATGCCAACTGGTTTTATCGCACGATCGCACGATTTTCTCCATTTGCCTACACACACAACAATGTTATGCACTTTTTATTGCCTTTTCAACTTTGCAATGCATACATTTTCACTTTTAACGTAAGCATTTCTGTTACCTTTGTAAATACATATCTACATATGTATGTATGTGTGTAGGCAGTACAAATGTATGTATGTATGTATATAGAAATGCAGTAACCAAAATTAAAAATTTTTCCTTTTCATCATTGGTATTTCGTTCATTACCTTTAACCGCTAAATATTCTTCGATCACTTCTAGAGACCAAATAAAATATTCTTCTTGGGCTCTAAGAAATTTCAAAGATATATTATTTAGTTTGCTAGCCAACCAATCTTCTCACTTTAAATTACTCCTTCGCTCATTTGTTTCACACACCAAATTTATGATTACTATTTTATTTGTTTCTTCACTTTGTGCACATTTTCGTAGCGCCACGGTACACTGCGCCATCGTACTACCGCGCCTCCTCGTCTTTGCCACCTTTTGGCCGTCGTCGCTGTCGTTTCGCTGCCGTCCAACATACGCCAGTTCGCCTAGAAACCGAACCGCTCGTGGATATCCATAAAACACAACTGAATTCGGCACTCAAATGCTCAAGCTTGCTTACCAACTTAGCAACTGGGCCCAATTGGTCTGCGAAGGTGGCTCGTTGGTTGGTTGTTCAAAAGAGAGAGTCGCAGAGAGTTTTCAACTGAAGAGATGCCTCGTTTAAGCCGCAAATCATCTGCGTGATCGTATTCAAAGAGTTTTGTATGCGTATAATAATGTTTGTATATGTGTTTGTATACACATACGTATGTGAGTTTATTAACTTTTATGTCATTCTTGAACGGAGGTTCTCGCACTATTTTATATTAAACAATATTTAATTAATTTTTCGCTGACCTCGGATGAGTCAATGGAACCTCACGCGCGTATTTTTGGAAAATGTTGTGCTGAAAGCCCGAATTTTCCAGTTTAATTTCAATATGAACTAAAACACATCGTGTAGTCGCTGTACCGTTATACCTTTGGTATAGACTAAAATCGATTTTTTTTGTATCGAAAGATGGAGGTATTTTCTCAGTTTCCGGAATATCGAACTAACCAGAAAACTTTCCGGGCTCAGTTCGTCCGACCGGACAGTAAAATTTTTCTTAGAAATGGATCCTTCAAAAGCCCCATGGGCGCCCTTAGATACAACCCATTGTTCTACATAAAGAACCGCTGTCGAGTTTTTTGCAACTCTAATAAGAATTTAGTGGCATTGCTGACTCCCGAATGGTTGAAAGGGAACTACGCCAAACCAGCGGATTCGGAAGCGTTTGCTAAAATTTGCTTAAAAGCAGGTTTGTTGCTATAAGTGATCACAACAATCTGGCAGGTTGGTATATCTTTCATCTATGTGATTAGATTCTGTTACTAACCTCACTTTTTGATTACTAACCTCACTTTTTGGTACTTTTACTTGCAGTATGTATATCCATTAAAATATTGTAATTTGTGTTTGGGATTGGTTAGTTTTTTGTAGCCAAAAAAAAGCAAAACAATTTTTTTTATTTTCTTCCAAAGGATTCTTTTATTATCTTACAGTTCTGACTTGTACGTTTTGCAATTTTTTTATATACATACATCTTTAAATGGTCAACTTACTATTTATCCTTCTTCTTTTTCTTACTTTTCTTCGACTTTTTCTCCCGAGATTTTTTCTTCGATTTCTTATTACTTTTGCTACCTTTCTTTCTCTGTGATTTGCCTTCGTCACTGCTCCCATCGTCGGTACTGCTGCTGGTACTTCGTTTCTTACTTTTCAGTGTTCTCCGAATTTTTTTCTCCACCCACCCTTCATCTTCCACTTGTCGGGAGTTTTTGGCACGTTGCGCTAGAAAACGAATCATTTTTTCCTCAATAACCTTGTTCATTTCGTCTACAGCTTTGCTAGTGCTTAGAGTTTGTATGTGCTGAGGCAGCTGTGGCCCATAAAAATCGGGTTTCACACCAGACGAAGTACTTGGCACCTCGGAATTTATATCTGTAGAGCCTCCCGCTTGCAGACGCTCGCTAATAAGCCTCTTTACAGGCGACTTTTCTTCATTACTCAAGTCGCTTACTTTTAGCTCATCACTTAACGATCTTGAGGATGATGTAGTAGCCGAATTTATTGATGTCTTCGAAGATGTGCTTAAGGGTTGTTTAAATTGTATTCTAGTCTCCTTAGAGACCTCTTTCGCAGGGGTAGGTGTCAGACCAAATTCTGAACTACCCGAAGTCGACGACTTGTCTTCCCCTTCAAGTGACTCCTTAGATTTACAAGTAGTAGGCTGAGAATTTTGTGCTACCACTTGCTTAGAGAGCAGAGCACTAAAGATGCCACGAGGAGGCGACGTATTACGCAAAAGGTTTACGTGATCAGAATTGAGAATAGAATCTCTCTTTATGTTGCAGTCAGCGCTATTGTCACCTTCCTTACTTATTACAGTCACTTCGTACTGATCAGCGCCTTCTTCATCACTGCTATCATCGAAAATAGCCTTGTACAACTCCAATTTTTCGTGGGCGGGCTTCTCTATGGAACTTTCGGAAAGTTTTTCTAAGTCGGTCTTCGCTTTTGAGCGTCCTACTTTTTGATCCTCGCTTTTAGTATCTTTTGAACTCTCATGCCTACCTTTCAGTTGATCGAGAACAACTATAGATGTCACGGAGGATGACGAACTCGGATTGCGGGGGGTAATCACCGGCACCGATGTTGCAGATTTTGATCCCGGCACGTCATCGTTATCGGTGGAGCCTTTCCTCTGCTTCGAAACGGGTTTGACCTCCGGTATTTTTAGTGGTACAATAACGGGTGTCTTGAAATCAGATTTCTTGTTCAGGCAATCTTCCAGATAGTCAAAAACAGACATTTTTGAAGAAGAGGGTAGAGGCTTCTCATCCTCCAAAAGGCTGCCGAAAGGCTCAGCAATATTGTATCTCTTGCAGAGTAAAGAATGAGGTTTCCACATTGTTTTAGAGCGCTCAACGGTAATTTTCTTTGGCGCAGGGAAGCTGTCGACACACGGCTCGGATGGCTTACAAGTATCTGCAATATTTGACTCCGAGACAAAGCTGAAAGGAAAATTATTGAAAAATTATTATATATTTTTAACCTATTCGAACTTACAGGAGGAGTTTCGACTCATAAACTATTAATGTTATAATGGTATTGGTTAGGTAGAAGATCTGATTTCAAGAATCCCATGATATGTAAGGGGTTTATGGCTGCAATACTATTTTTATATCCTATATGAAAGTACATGCTAAACACTGAAATACTAACCGTTGCGACATTAGACCGTCCAGTGGTTTGAAGATTTGGCTAGCCTGCATAAACTCCTTCATTTCCATTTCCCGATCCCATTCGCTCAAATGTATGGGCTGTATTTGATTCAAGAATCGTGCAATTTCTTCCTCGGTCTTTACATCTGCCAAAAGAAAATCTTCGTATCGTCGTTGTTTCTGTTCGTCGTGGACAAAAGGCTTGAATACATTGGACAAGGAGTCAAACTTTTTCGATTTTTCTTGAACTTGCTGCATCATCTCTGAATAGGCACTGTCACTATTGGACGTATTATCTTTTTCAAAACCTGTAGTGTGTGTGAAGCGATCTTTTTCATCTAGAGACTTTAACATCTGTTTCGCTCTTTCTGGTAGTTTATCGTACCCTCCTTTCACTCGAGTTCTCGAAACTTCCTTTGCTGCACCCTTAGGCAAGATAGTTTTTTCCTGAATTTGATTTTGTGGCTGTTCGGGCTTAAAGCAGGTGCTTGCAATTTGTTTCTCATTATTTCGCTGCCCCTCAGCTAGTAGTGCAGCGCGATCATCCGGATTCAGTCTTGGCTTTGCTTGTTCTACTTCTTTAAAATATGATTCTAACTCTTCCGCTCTCTTCGCATCTATGGGCTGGAAACGACTTCTTCGTTCCGCCCAATTTCGTGGTACGAAATCCAAGGGTGCTTTAATATTAACTGGCTTCTTCATTTTCAACGGCGTATTGGATGCAGAGAAACCTACAATCAACTGATCCTGTTCTATGATTGACTTTTTGTTCGTTGACTTTTTGTTTTCCAGTGAAAAATCATAACGGGACATATCGTCTTTTGCATATATGTCCTCATCCTCATCCTCCAGTGCACCTACACCAAAAGCTTGTCCTTTAAATGATATCTTCTTATTATTTTTACCCATTGCTTCTAGAGCGGGTTCGAAGAGGTTAATGTGTCCACTGTTTGTTGTTGCTAAATGTGCATTCGAAAGAATGGGATCTCGACTTAAGTTGCTTCGGTAGCCTAGACCAAAACGATCTTTTTTTGCTATACACACATATGGGTCGTAATCATCTGGGGCAAATGTAATTTTTTCGGGTTCTTCGTCAGAACTTTCAGTCTCATCTCCGCCCTCATCCGAATTAACTGCTGTTTTTGGGTTGGGTTGATAACCATATTGCTGCATAACATACGTTTCGCGTTGATTTCTAGCTCGCGCCATTTTTTTCTCCTTCCGTGTTTGACGCGGTCCAATGCCTTGTCCTGGACGCCAGCCCATACTTTTTAAAATACGCTCTCCAATTTTTCCCTGAAGAGGCATTATCAACTGCTCCAAAAGCGGTTTACCTGGAATAGGCCCACTATTTGTTGCCATCAGCTTACGTTTCCGACTCTGCTCTGGCTCAATTGAAGTATATTCCGCCCGTGTCACTAAGCGCTGGGGAGCTATACCGAATTCACCGTGATCCTCATCGTCCATGAAATCACTAGGTCGCTGCTGTAAGCGCTGCGCGGCTTTTTCGCTTCGTGAACTTTTAAATGTGGTTGGTGTCCAGCCTTCCTGCGAACCAACGGTATTCCAATAGCCAGCGCTGAAGCCGCCCGTGAAAGCACCATGAAAACGTCGTTTGCCATTTTCGTCAGTCACGATTTGATCTTCTGGTCGTATCGGTTTCTTCGACGGCACAGTATCTGAAGTAAATCACACATATCACCGTTGTTTTTATGATTGTCATACAAATTACCTTCGTCCAGTTCCGGCAATGATGTGCCGAAACGGTGTAGCCCAGCCTCTTCATACATTTTGATATTTAAATTTATAAATGTTTAAATTTTACTAGATATTTTATGAATTTCAAGAAAAAACATCACATCCGAATAAAATTGTGCTGCAAAACTTAACTTTGATGTTATTTAAAATATTTCGCAGAAACAGCTGATTTTGGCACTGCTTCTTCTTACCCAATTTAATTAGTGCACAATAATAGAGTTAAGGCAGAGCGTGATGTGAATTGCTCTTGTAAAAGGAAGTCCGTTTTAATTTTGCAGGTATAATTTTTAATTTGAATTATAATTAAAAATTTTTTATTACAAAAAAAAAAAAACAAATTTTATTACAATACTTTTTATTTAATAAGTACGAAAAGAACTAAGGCTCATATTAAGAGTTGTTTTCGATGTTCTGAAATCCGATTTTTTTTACTCGAAAACAGATTTTTAGCTATTTCCTTTCACTTTGTCATAGCATTGTGAAATTAACTTTCAGTCTGACTGGAACCCGAACAACGCGATTGACCGGGAAAACCGGAAATTGAACGCAGGTTATAATGAGCCTAATGCAACTTTTATTTCCGACGGAAATAAAAACGCATAATTCATAGAAAACGGGACATTGTATTTTCTTTTCACAAAAAAGTAGCAAAACTGCTAAACGACATCATGAATACATTTGCAAGGATATGTAAACAAGGTTAATTCTGATTTTCTACTGTATCTGGCTTCTTAATATCGGATTCCTTACTTCCTTTCTCCTCGATATCTGCATTAATTTCGCATTTAACCTTCCCAGTTTCTTCTTTACCATCGGAATGTTCAAATCTTTCAAAGAGAATCACCAATTCTGTGTGCGTGGTATGTGGAAACATATCAACGGCAATCGCTGTTTTCGGAAAGAATGGATCTCCTTTATATTGCTTCGATTCTGGTCGACCAAGTTCAATCCAATTACGTTGTGCATGCACCGGATTGCAGGAAATGTAGACCAAGCGTTTAATTGCTGTAGCAGCGCGTATTGCGGCTATAGACCGGTTATCTAGAATAGGAATATGGATTATAATTGTGATTTGTCATTACTAAAAAACATAAAAATCCTTACGGAGCCCCGCTCTAGGTGGATCTACTACGGCTATCAAGTCCAGAGGCGCACCAGGCGCATTGCCATATACCACTTCACGCACCATCGACTGTATGTAGTCATCGGCATTGCCCGCAAAGAATTTACAATTTTCTATTTTATTGGCCTTCGCGTTGAACTCGGCATCCTCAATTGCTTCTGGTATAATTTCCACACCGAGTACTTGCTTGCAATGCTTTGAAAAGGCCAGAGCTATTGTGCCGGTACCACAACAAATGTCTAACACTGTAGAACGAGGCTGTGGTGCGGCTAACTCAATTGCCTTATCATAGAGCACTTCGGCTCCTTGCGTATTTATTTGAAAGAATGCGAGTGGACTTATCTTAAAAGATAAACTGTGTATGGTATCCGTGTTATGCGTGCTACCGGAGATGTGGCCCACGGGTGACACCATTTGGCCAGCCTCACGATGCTTCACATCTTGATAGTACAGTGAGGTGCATTTGAATCCCTTCGCTTCGTCATGACATGCTTCGTAGTATTCCTTTAGTTTCTTTTTCAAGTTTTCGAATTCAGTTTCGTTTAAGTTCGAAGAATAAATGCCAGCTACCAACATTATCTCCCCGGTGTGCGCAGATGTACGCACCATCAGCTGTCTGATGTGACCGGAGTTATCTTCTGGGTTGAAGGGCAGAAAGTTTGAACTTCTAACAAAGTCTTGAAAACTATGGGCTGCCCATTTAGCTGAGTCAGGTATATGAGGCAAATCTTGAATTTCTGAAACCTCCACAGATCCGTCAGCATAGCTTCCCAAACGGAAACCAACTACGATCTCACCTTCCGCATTTTTACCAACTGTGAACTCGTTTTTATTTCGATACCCATTGATTTGTGGAGACGCTTTTACTCCTTCAAATTTGAAAGCGTTCAAGTATTTCTTAGCTGCCGAATTAGTATTTCGCAGTTTGTTTGTGAATTTTCTCAGAAGTTCTTGCATCTCGTTGTTTTTCTTTTGCAACTGTTCCTCATAAGGAATGGAAGCATAGGGACAGATCGCATCAGCAGACGTACGCTGGCGTTTTGGCTGTACTTCTTTTTCCTCTTTTTGCGCGTTCTCATTGCGACGCTTCTGCAGTGGATCTGCAGACGCTTTGGCAGCCTATTAGGAATTAAAAAAAAATTTTACAAAATCGAAAACACTTTCACTTTCAACTTGGTGCATTAATACTCAAAGTCAGCATTTCAACCTAAGTCTCGAAAAAATCGTATAAATCTTCTTTATTGTTTTGTTTAGCGGCTTACCAACCCCGTTTAGGTATAGGATAGTTAGTCTAAGTCAGCTAGGTCATCTAACGGGAGGACCAGGAAACAAGAAGTCTCGACAAGCTCGGACCACAGCGAGGGGGTTAGATGTGTTGGTTAAGGGGCTTATAAAGAGGTGGATAGTGTGGGGCGGGGACTCGTTACAGGCGGGACATACGTTCATTTTGTCGGAGTGGAGTCTGTATAGGTAAGAGTTTAACCTGCTACAATATCCAGACCTAAGTTGCGCCAGTATTAAGCAGGACTCTCGAAGCAGGTCGAACTCTTCATCTGCTATGGGTAGTGTTTTGACTCCGAGGAAGCTATTCACAGGGAGTGCTCTTGAAGGTGTTAACCGACTATTGAAGTTTTTAACTGACTCTTGCTGAATGGCTTAAGTGCCTGTCTATCCGCCAAAAATATTTTTTATAGGTAAAACCACCTCCAAGACACATTAGAGAAGGAGTACTTGACATGAACGACTACATTCAGCAACATTTGCAAAAACCGATGTACAGTCATTGATCACATCGCATTTTTCCTTATCACTTCACTGACCACTTCAGAATGGCATTCTTACATAGTACATACAGATTCGTGCAACATTAAAAACGCTCTTTTCTTTGGTGTAAGAGAGCTTTTATAAAATAAAGCCATTCTACGACTTCATAATTAAAAATAGGTCGTGCAGCTATTTAACAACGCTGTCTTTGTGTTTTGGAAAACTGCTTTTGTTTCACATTTTAAATTAATATTTGGTTGCAAACCCTTTACTGCCAATTAAGGCTTGACATCTACGAGGCATTGACTCCAATAAACTTTTGCAAATGTCCTTTAAAATACGATTCTATTCTTGTGTAACTTTTTCGTATAAATCTTGGAAATTTCCAATTTTATAGAAACGAACTCTTTTCTTCAAAAGTGTGCATGGATTCACGATTGGATTCAAATCCAGGCTGCATGAAGGCCCATCTAATAGAGTCGCCATATTATCCTGAAACCATTGCTTTATATTACGCGAAGGATGTTTCAGAGCGTTATCCTGCTGATAAATGCGCGACACGGCCATATAGTCATCAGCATATGGTTATTATGTTATCCATGATATGTACTTAAACTGATCCATGCGATCATCGATTTTGCAAAGAAGCCCAATCATTACACAGCCGACACCGTGTTTTAAAGTTGTCCTGGTGTACGTTTGGCCCAACTTTTTGCATTGAGGCCTGCGGGAAATTTCAATAGAAATATAAAGAAATATTTGCCTAAACACAATTAATTTTCAACAAATCTTAAGAATTTAACACGCGTTTTACTCCCTTTTGCAAATAAATGTTAACTGTTTCAAAATAACGGAATTTCCTCAAAATTTGTTGACACCTAAATCTGACCATACTTTCATAGAAGAGATTTTAAAATAAAATTCCATTATTACACTTAAGATGTTTACGGAAAGGGACAAGTCGTTGTTAATTAGTTGCACGGAACTGTATGTATGTTCCCCAATTATCAAAACCAATCCTGAAGTTATAAAATCCACTTACAGTAGCTTGTAGCACTTTCCCTTTCCACTTATACCCATTTAGTGTTTCTATTGCTCGCTCCTGGTCTTCCTGACTACGAAAACACACAAATGCGAACTCTTTGCGTAGTGGAGATTTGATTTTAGTCATATTCAGATTTAGTTTGGATTTAAGCAGCTTTTTGAATTCCTATAAAATACACAGAAATGTCATTAAAATACAGCTCCATTAGCGCATTGCTTTACTTTCTTACCCCAATGCCAAAGTAGCCTAAATTTCGTACTTCGATTTTGTAAATCTCAGAAGTAAACTCATTTCGTTTCAAATAATTGAACTCGTCAACGCTAGCAGGAGGTAGTGTTCCATCTTTTGCTATTTCTTCATAAGCTGGCGTCTCTGGAATTATTTGATTCTCTCTTGTCTTTTCAAAGCTTTGTTCATCTGGCGGAAGCTGTTCACTGTTTTCTGCGGACATTTTGCTAATATTTTTTTCGTAATTTTAAACCTAAGTAAAATAATGTGTTCTGTAGAAGAGCTACCGGCTGATGTTTACTTTTCTTAGCATGTGGTAAGCTCACCTTCTTTTTAGAAATAGTCATTCACTATAACTTTTACGGTTTAAAGATTATTTCAAAAAAACATGTAATTTAATAATTGTAGCGATATTTCGGTTCCTACCATGTAAACATAAAATATTACAGTTGACCAACATTTAAGCTTCGGAGTTTCCAAAAAGAGAACTTTTTCGTAATTAATTTCAGCAGTAAGAAAATTTATTGTGCCAAATAGTAAGTTGAACCTCTGGCAAGGCCGTAAGAAATTTAGCAAGCAAACAGAGAACGTATAACATATTGTTACGATTTTACCGAATCAACCTCGATTATTTTCTAGATCCTTCGGGTACGATCTCTGGATTGTTAAATAAAAACTCGCCAACTTAGTTTGCAGTTTCTTTCGTTATAAAGATTCTATCTAATGTCCTTTATTCTCTCAGTAATTCACAATTCAATTATACTGCACTTTACTATTTATAATCACTAACATCAACTTTCACAATTTCCTCTACTTAAATGTAATTCCCAACGCGTTCACTTTACGTCTTCACTGATGTTAACGCCAACCAATTTGCTTTGTCACTGCTTGACTTGCAGCTGAGTGTCGCCTTTATATAGCAGTCGGCTGCTCGCAGACGAAAGCGTAGAAGCATCGAATTGTTCGCTATGGAAGGTTCTTGTGTTATCGGCTTCTCTCTTTCATCTGACATTCGCCTCGCATTTTCGCAACAATATATGTTATACGTTCTCTGAAGCAAATTTCTGTCAAAACCGGCTGTGTGCAAACGATTGGTGAAATTGAAGGATCGAAGAGATAAAAAATCTTAGAATACATTTTGCATAGTTTTTATAAGCATAAATAAGCTATTAATATTTTAATATAGTTAAGAATATGTCTCTGATGCCGGGACCATTAGCGCAGGTAAGTTTCCTTAAGTTCCTTTAGCAAAAAATCGCATAACTGAATGCATTGTTTCTTTGTTGTACCACCCCCTGACCCCGTTTTTACATCATTTCTCATGGAAAAGAATGCCATCGAACCGATGCAAGTGGACGCGCCCGTTGAAGACAATGATAACAACGAGGAGCATCAGCTAATTGTTGAAAATCCATCACTTGATCTCGAGGTTTACGCAAATGCCTATACCGGTTTGGCGACTTTGTATCGTCTGAAATTTGTTGCCGATGTTTGTCCTACGCTCCGATTGGAAGCACTGAAGATGGCTATAAAACATGTAATGACCACGTACAATGTCAGCATGTACCAATCACTGCACAAAAAACTCTTAGAACTGACTGGTGTTGGGGCAAGCGGCTCGGGACAAGCGGCTGGTGCTGGTCTACCAGATGTAGCTGCGCAATCGGCTGCGCCAGCTGGTGCCGCTGCGGGCAGTGCTGGCGCAGATGCGTTAGACCTACCCGCTTTCGATAGTAACTGGGTAGAAACAAAGAGTAAACAGGCTGCATTCAATTTGGAAAAACTAGACTCGGATTTAAAAAATTACAAATCAAATTCAATCAAAGAGAGTATACGACGTGGACATGACGACTTAGGCGATCACTATTTGAGCTGTGGTGATTTAACCAATGCCCTGAAATGCTACTCACGCGCTCGTGATTATTGTACCAGCGGCAAGCATGTTATCAATATGTGTCTAAATGTAATAAAGGTGTCGTTATACTTACAAAATTGGGCGCACGTATTGAGCTATGTTAATAAAGCAGAGAGCACACCTGATTTTATGGATGGACCGAAAGAAGCCAATTTGGTATGTTTCATTGTGTATAAGCTTTAATTTTTTTTTTTGCTAAATTGTCTTCTTATTTACAGTCCGTCGCTACTCGTCTCAAATGTGCAGCAGGTCTCGCTGAACTGCAAACAAAGAAATATAAATCTGCGGCTAAGAAATTTCTACAGGCCAGCTTCGACCACTGCGAATTCCCAGACATGCTATCCCAAAACAATGTAGCTATCTATGGTGGGCTCTGTGCACTAGCCACTTTCGATCGTCAAGAGTTGCAGAAAAACGTAATATCCTCAAGCTCATTTAAATTGTTTTTGGAATTGGAGCCACAGCTACGTGACATCATCTTCAAATTCTACGAATCCAAATACGCATCCTGCCTAAAGTTGCTGGACGAGATTCGCGACAATTTGTTGCTAGATATGTACATTGCACCTCATGTAAACATCCTCTACACGAAGATACGAAACCGTGCGCTTATTCAATACTTTAGTCCCTATCTCTCGGCCGATATGCGTAAAATGGCAACAGCTTTCAATCGCACAGTGCCCGCTTTAGAGAATGAAGTTATGCAACTCATACTAGATGGTCAAATTCAAGCGCGCATCGATTCTCAAAATAAAATCCTCTGCGCCAAGGAGGCCGATCAGCGAAACAACACTTTTGCACGCGCTATCAGTATGGGTAGGGAATACCAAAGACGTCTGCGTATGACAATTCTGCGTGCCGCAATGCTTAAGAGCCACATTCAAGTCAAAGTAAATATTTTCTTCATTTTTCTCCAACATTGCTTTTTTTAATAATTGCTTTTTTTTTAGAATGTTCCACGTGAAACTGGAAACCATGGCACCGATTTTTGTGTATCCGCTGGATCGAGTACTACCGCTCCAGTTAGAAATTGAATTCAATTCATCTGATTATATTTGGATACAACTAACATATTAAATTTAGCATTTCATTCATTAAAAATATGTACAAAAATGAAATTTTTGATCTGCTTGTTACGAAAGGAAGTTTTTTTATTGGTTTATTAATTGACGGCTATTTCAAAAGTTAAACATTAATTTTAAAATCTCGAATCCTACGAAGGGTATTGAGAGTATTTCACCAACACGCGAATTATCTACTGCGCTCACGCCGTCTTTCAGTTGATCTGCTGCGATTACGACGATCATCCTTAGTGCGCTTGTCAGCTCTATCTTTTGAACGACTGCGATAGCGGTGGTTTCTGGTTTGTTGACTTGCTTTACGAGTATCGTGAGAAAAACTAGAACGTTGGCGCTCTCTGGAAGTGCTTTGCTCTTTCCTTAAAGATCTTTCTGCGCTTCTTCCCCTAATGCCTTCACGTCTGCTGTACTTTTCGGAAGACCGATTATTATTCCTACTTTGTTCGTCACGCGAGCGGCTGTCTCGGTGCCTGAATGATTCTTTCCTCAAAAGTTCCTCAGATTCTGATTCAGAGCTGGAAGAATCAGAAGATGACTCAGAATCATCGCTGGATTCACTATAACGCTTCTTTTTCTTATCTTCTTTTTTCTTTTGTTCAACATTTTTAAATTTTCTTTTTGGAGACTTGTGTCCTTCATCTTCATCGGAGTAGTTTCCACTGCTACTGCTTGATTTCTTTGAATGTTTTTTCTTTGATTTCTTTTCTTTCTTACTCTTGAGCGCTTTATTTTTTTTCAGCTTTTTCTTATCCTTTTTCTTTTTTAATTTTTCAATTTTTTCTAATTTTTTTAGCAGTTCCATCTTTTGTTCCTTGCTAAGTGATTTCAGAAATGTTAATTCGGTGTTTGCATCTTTCCCATCTTCCTTTTCACCCTCTTCTTCGTCACTAGGCACCAACTTATGTAGTTGATGAGTTTGTTTAATATTTTGCAGCTCTAAGGCAGATTTTTTCATCACCAACCCATCTTCCTTCATTTGCTCCTCCAGCACATTTTTCGCCATCATCTCACTTGCTTCGGCTTCGGAATGTAGTTTGCGTGCTTCACTCATTGAAATGCTATACATGCTACACTCTTTATCGGTGTTTATGTGCCCCCATTTATGGCACTTTATACAACGTACATTGCGCACCTGTATGCCAAATGGTTGATCACGAATTTCTGTGTCACCTTTACAGTAGGACTCACGAGGCGCATTAAACTTGCGCTGCCATTCGAACTTATACTCAGGTTCAGTAGTGTCCTTCTCACGCTCTTTTCGTACTCCAGGCGGCGGTTCGTACATGAAGTTCACACTCAGTTTATCCTTGCTGTCCTTGCTCAGCATAGCTTTGTTTTCATGTAAATTTTGCTCCTTCTCATATTGCGTGCGCAGCTCTTCCTGTTTTTTCTTGTAAGCTTCTGCTTGCTGTTCTGCCATCCATACCTGCGGGAAAATTTGTTTGGTATAGATAATATATACAAACGTAATAAATCAATTGCTTGCAGATTGTACAAAATCTTACTCGTTTTAAATTGTCGCGAGAAGCTGGGTGAAAGAATTTTTTACACATGTAGTTGTTAAAACCTTTGCCCATTTTAACGTCTTTACAGCTTTCGACAAAAAATAAGAGTTTATTGAAATATAATTACTTTTTAATTAAGAATTCGATTCGACTCCAAGTCAACAAAGAGCCAACAGTCGCAGAGAACCAGAGAACTTATAATAATGTCTGACAGCTGTCTACAAACGTCAAACGCGACAGTGCTACCAAAGCATAAAATGTGAAATGGCATAACAAATTGTGTTTGCAATTATAATTTACAGAGGCCTTGGAACTGTTGCAAAGATTATATTTCAAAATAAATTATTTTCACACTTACCGGAGTACTTAAAATAATACAATGATTTTGTAAACCTTTTTGATGGTACATATGAATCTGTTTCAACAATATCCATGATACAAAAACAGAGTAGGTTCACTGAAAAATTTTTCCAAAAATATTACATGGACAAATGGATACATCATCTTCTCCAGAAAGTGGGAATATGTTAAAGTTAAAATGAAAATAAAATGTAGTGTCAAAAAATCTTTTTCTGTCACTTTAATATTAAGTGAAACTACCTTACTTTTTTTTACTATGTGTAAAACCATACAGATATACAAATATATTTTCATCTGAAAATTTACAATTTTTAAAACATATTTTATAAAAATATACAAAGTAAATACAATCAATTTTTTTTTCACAAGGACAACGAATTTACACGCTTGAAGCCTAAGTAACCATCGGCGGTAAGGTTTTCCTCAACTCTTTTGCACCATGCCTCGGCAGAGCCATCGAAATGAACCATATCGAATTATCGACAACACAATTATTGTAAAGAATTAAAAATGCCGCTGAAGATTGTTTTTCATTATTCCATATTATTTGAATTTGTCAAAACGCATCCTGCAAAAATTGAGATGTGAGATGGCACAGGCTTATCGATATATACATAGATTAGAATTATAGAACAATGGTTCTTAGAAAAACCAACACATTAGGCAAACCAATAGATTTTTATAGTAAATTTTTATGGGTAAAGTGAGATTTGTTTCCGGTATATGCGTATGTGTCTGGCGGTGCGTGTATGTTAATGATGGGTGAATATTGTTTATTTGCTTTTTATCGTTTGAATTGGTAGCTGGAATGAGTGAGCGAATGCGTTGCGGTTGGCGTTTACCCCTTTGCTGTTGTTGTTTCTGGTTACCTTGTAACGTTTGTAGCTCTTCGGTGGATACAACAATAGGCACAGCATTTGCCATCTCCGTTGCCTTATGAGGCGTGGTCGGCTTTTGAATCGCATATTTTTGCATTTCCAAATATTTTTGCCAGATTTGCGTGATGTTGCCACCTTCTTGGTTAAAGTCTTGAAATTGCAATTCTATATTGCCTTCATTCACATATACCTGTTGAAAATGATCTCGTATATATACATCCCTAAAGCCGATTAGGCCACAAGTTAAAGCGCGGACGACGCCTTCATTCATGGCATTTCCCCCACCGCAGACAGTTGCGGTCTGATTACAAGCCACACCTTCAACACCTATGCTACCCTCTGCCTCACTGCCACCTCCACTACAGCTGCAAGTATGTAGCAAACCGTCTGAAGGTGTTTTGTTGTTACAGCTGTCCGGTTGGGCGTTGCCTTGCGAGTTGCTCGGAAGCAATCTGACGGTACTTAGCGGTCTGAATCGATTTCCTCCCAATATAAAGTTTGTCTGTTCTAATTGTTTAATTTTCTGTTCTAATTTGGCGTTTTCCTTCTCCAAGTATTCGACTTGCATGGTGAGCTGCAAATGCTGCATGCTAAGTTCCTCCATGGAGCTTGGCTCTATCGCCGACGCACTGCTGGGCAATTTCGCTAGTTTGAAGCGCGCATGTACTTGCTGAGCGACGTAATTTTCGGCAACGGATGCCACCCTTGCCAGCGCGTAAATGCATGCGAAAATTGCCAAAAAATTCAAATAAATATCATAATTCTCGAAGCAAGCATTTGCCTTCACGGTGTCTTCAAAAGCCTCATCTAAAAAAAGAAAGCACAAAAAATCTAAGCTTCAAACTTTAACTTAAAAAGACGTGGATATTCTTACTCATGTGGAGCTCTATAGTCATTTGATCCTCGCGTTGCTGTTCGATTTGTTTGAAATAACAAAGTATGATCCACGTCGTGACCGCCAGCGATATTAGAAATAGAAAATTAATTGAGGAAAACATTTTGACGTCTTTGGAATTTTGATCAGAAATGAAAAAAGCATTTGCAGTACAAATATAAATTTGTTTGAGCACAAACGATTTCACACAATTTTTTGCGTTTAATTTGCCACTGAATGGAAGTGTCGAAAGCTCCCTTCAAATTTTTGAAGCCAAAACCAAAGTAAAATGCTAGTGATCGGCAGGTTGATCTGATCGCAAGTAATGTAAGGGATTCATGATCTCTCGGCGACTGTTCTGAAAGGTGAAGTTGCCATATCATAGGATAACTTGTCTTTCATACCATTTTCCCAAACTGCACAAGACAAATTCATGAGCAATATATTTTGACATTTCATTTAGATCTGTGTGAATCTGTCTTGGCAGCGCCACTTTCCGCTTGTATTCGAAAACAACTGAAATCTCAGATCCTCGTTACTTACTTAGCTTACTGGCGTAGACACCGCTTTCGCGACTTTAGCCGAATTTAGTTATAACATCGCGCCATTCATTCCTTTCTCTCGCCGCTTGGCGCCAATTGGAGATGCCAAGTAGAGGAGTGGAGATCTTCCTCTGCCTCTGACTCCACCGACGGGTATGGTATCCAAAACTTTCAGAGCTGTAGTATTCTTATCCATCGGCTGCGGTTTTCGCGGATCGCAAATCTTACGCAAAACCTTTCTCTCTAAAACTCCTAGCGTCGACTGATCAGATGTTGTCATCGCCCATGCTTCCCCACCGTATTTTACAACGGTAACGATGAGGGACTTGTAGAGTTTGGTTTTCTTTTCCTTTTCAATTGCGTGCTCAGTTCAACGTAGCACCTGTTGGCCAGAGTGATTCTGTGTTGGATTTCCAGGCTGACATTGTTATTGGCGTTAATACTGGTTCCAATACAGATGAAGTTATCTACGACTTCAAAGTTATGACTGTCAACAGTGAGGTGGGAGCAGAGTCGTGAATGCGATGACTGTTTGTGTGAGATATATACTTCGCTTTCTTATCCAGTCTGGAGAAAGCAGGCCAATAATTTCAACATCATCGGCGCTCACCAGCAGCTGCACCCCTTCTCAGCTCTGCAGCTCGCATTATTTTCTCCACAACCTCTTTCTTTGTACGAAATCCTTGGATAGACGACTGCCAATCACTTTTTTTCTTCAACATGTCCTAGTAGTAGCTTCCTCATATCCTATTCTCCTTTTTAATGACGCTCGCAGAATTTACCTGTCAGTAATGGGTGCTAAATTAATTATCTTTAAGTCGCCTGTAGCAGTAAAACACTTTGGTATGGGATCGTGGGATGGTAAATCTTTATTATAAATAAATAATTATGATGGAAGTTTAATTGTTCGCAATATTTCCATCACACCTAGTATAGCAAGCACTTACGTTTCATGCTTAAAATCTTTAATATCGTCATAACCACGATGAGCCAGCTTGTAGCCTGCAACGCCATGTCCAAAAAGCACTGCCTCCGGAACGCTAAGTTCAAGCTCGTACAAGGCAAATATAACACCCGCACAGAAAGTGTCACCAGCGCCCAATGAATCTACAATCTCGGACACCGGTGTTGATGGTACGAAAGTATAATTACCCTCCGAATCGACACACGAAGCACCAACCGCACCCCACGGACAAATAATAGCGGGTTTCGTGTCACCCAATTCTTGTTGCGGTTTCATTTTGTTATATAAACTCATCGCCGCCACATCCGGTTGCTGCCAGCCCATATGCTCTGCGAAATCCTTGCCCAGAAAAATAAAATCTGCAGCTTCGCCCAACTCAAGGAGCTCTTCCTTCATTTTCTCCAAATCAACAGATATACGTATGCGGTCATCAGGATTCTTTAACTGTTTATTGTGCGCTCGTATATCACGTATGAGCTTCAGCACCGACTCATTGTTGCGTCCTTCGAAATGTATCCAACCGTAGATGCTTAAGTCGATACGCGACAGATGTGTGTACTCCAACGGCGGAAATCCGGGATTTGAGTGTATAATGGTGCGCGAACCGGTTGCTTTATTGAGTATGACCGAAGAGAATGGTGGATCCATGTCGGTGCTGGGACAATTCTCAATATGAATATTACGTTTCTTGCAGTCTTCGTATAGGAAGCCAAAAGCCGGCGAAGCACTCAACATACCCAAGAACTCGACAGCGGTTGCGCCTAATTGCTGCAGTACCGTACAATTGTTGGAAGCATTGCCCCCGCGCTGCCAATATCCTGAAAGACAGCGCTTATCTGTATCCTCAATGGGATACTCCTGCACTACATGTATGATGTCCAGCACGCACATACCCACACACATTATGCGGCGTCGAGGTTTGGTTACACCTGTGCTATGCATGCTAACGGTGAATTGTTTGCGTGTGATTTTTTTTAAATTTTATTTGAGTGCTGATTTGAAAATTTGTTGGTTATATGTATGTATTTTAATATATGGATACATATGTACGTACGTATATTCTAATCTTCACAGTTTTCTAAGCTGAGACCACTTTGCATTGCGGCTTTGTATTTTTGGGAACCAACACAGTACACAGATACATACAAGTATGCACATATATAATTATTACACTAAGCTTCAATTTGTCTTATTATCAATTAAATATACATTGTGTATAAATTGCGTGTAAATATTGATTTGCTTGCGTTACGTACTTTCAAACAGGTGTTTGCGAGTGCCTTCTCAGATTTCAACTAAACACAATTAACAAATGTTTAACGTCTTCAGCAGTCATAATATGCGGACTTTGACGCTCTCTCCGGTAGCTCAGTCCCGTCGAGATAACGTTCATATGTATGTATACATGCCAGAGAATAGAGTAGCATTCAAGCTTGCTCCGTATACAATCAAAGACCGCTGTGAGAGTGTGTTAATACATATAAATTAATTAATAGATTTATGCAGTTTTTATGAGTTCTAGAGGAACAAAATAAATCCTCTACACTTTTCAATACAAAACGAGTATTAGGTATGCAAGTTGAAATTGAGGTTATCGAATAACTTATCGATAAGTTGGTGACTAATTTTGAATTAGTTTATTTGCTTAATTTTTAAATTTATCTACGAATCCATGTCTATTCGATATATTTATTGAAGTGAATATTAATTGTTGGCAAATAGTGACAATTAACCTTTTGATTAAAAAATATTCGTTATAAAAGAGTTTCATATTCCAAGTTCCATGACGAGCGGAACTGTCTTTCGATTATTTAATCAAACAATTTTCCATGCAGGCTATAAAGGTAAATCTAAAATTCTAATTATTAATGATTTCTCTAGTAAAAATTTGGTAAATTCAATTTTCCTTTAAATCTCGTTCAATTCATTTGTAAAATGGTGCAAATCCTTTTCCGGTAGTTTCCGCTTCCTTCGCTAACAGTTTTTCTAGTTCACCCTGTTTCGCAACCGATTTCCACCACACTGTTGCTGCCACACAATTTCAAATAACCGATTACTCGTATGCGCTGTTACCGACAGCCACATCGCCGTCCGCCCACAATTAACAGGGTGTTCACTGCTAACGTCTCTGCGCTTGGTTTCCCACAGCCATTTGCGCACTTCCCTAGCCAACTGATTTGCTGTTTGTTTCTCCATTGACTCCGCTGAGTGGTGTGCGGTTGTGATTTAGTTGAGTTTCCGTGTGTTTGTGTGTTTGTGCGTGCGAGTGTGTGTGTGTTGCGGCAACAGCAGCAAGCACATGCAACGGCGACTCGCATGGTCAATAGTCGTCAGTTGGTGTCAATGATGCCGTGCTGAAGCGTACAATTATCAAAATGTGCGGATGCCAAGTGTTCACTAACTAAATAAAGTGTCAAGTGATGAAGTAAAACACCAAAAAAAAAAACAAAAAGAATATACAAAGTATAAATGAATACACGACAAACAAGTGAGAAATGAAAAATATCTCAATGTGGTCTCGCTGGTTGTTAACTCGGAAGAGCTGATAGCCACAGCCAGAGTTGTGTGGACAGTTGCAAAGAGCTTCGCGCGCTGATTTGACGTGTATTTCTGCCGTTTGTTGTAGTTGACGTGTTTTGAATGTGATCCGCGATAAATTAATTGTCGCTCCTGAGCTGCATTTGTGCGATTGCATGGCAATTAATACCTGTGGACAATTTTAAATTTTCTTAGCTGCAGATAATCACTGTACGGGAATGCAGATTTTTCTCGATTGTAGTAGCTGTGACTTCGTGGGAAGAAAAAAAAATTGCAATTCTAATGTGTCAAATGTGTCAGATGGATGCAGTTTCCCGTGGCGTGCGAAATTCGTGTTGAATTTGTTTTGAGTTTTACATCACCACTTACTTGTGTTTTACAAAATTTTGTGCTGTTATTAACAAAACAATACGAAAAGTGTTAAGCATTAAATATGTGATGTGAGTGAAGGCATTTATTTATGTTATGGAAATACAAACGACTTCACTTACATATATGCATGCATAGATTTAAGCACATGTACAATATGTGTGTGTGCAGGCATGAACATACCTAGCACAAATAAAAAACGCCCAGAGCGGCTAAAAGCTACGTTAAAGCGCAGACATTGCTACCGCCATGATTACAAAAAATATTGGGGAACGTGGAAAATAAACAACGAACTTAAAAAGAATAATTGAAGAAAAAGTAAAAATTATAAAAGCAAATAAATAAAAAACAAATTTTGAGTACTTCGTGCATGGTGAGTTTTTCATGTAAAGAGCGGGCAACTTTTCCAATACACTCACACACTCTTCGTCCGATTGATCTTTCTTCAATCAGTTTCCGCCGCATTGCTCATTCCGCGAATCGTGGTGAAAGAGAGTGGTCGATGTCGTTGTCGTCGTGGTGGCACCGTGCCATTTTCATATTCATACCAAATGAAATTTATTCATACATATGTATGTATGTATATATGTAGATAAGCGCATGCAAGTGGCCGCGATCTGTGGTGGTTCAAGATTCAGACGTTGATAATAGAAAAGTTGAATATTATTTAATTGTGTTTTTCTTTTGATTTGGAAATTTTTGTGTGTTTATTTTTATTTTTCATATACATACATATGTACATATGAACTTGCACAGGCCGTATTGTTAAGTGCCGCTTTACTGGTTTACAAAGAGAGTGAATACATACATACATATGTATGTATGTACATATGTACATACATAAGTAAATCAACAAGTGTATGCATCTTTTTAGTACATACATACATATGTATGTACGAGTGAGTACAAGTGCACGAGTGTACATATTGATTTGTTAAAAAGTGAAAAAAAAGTTCGGTGTGAAAAATAGTTAACATTTAACTAAATAAAAAATATTACATATAAATATGTAAATATACAAATTTACCCAAAATTATTTACAATAATGCAAAAAGGCAAATAAATGAAATAACATAAAAATATGCCCACATACATACATACATATGTGCTTACTATGTGCGGAATATGCACGTGTTAAGTTTTCCAACAGCAAACAAAACTAATAAATTCGCTTAACTTCCACAAAATTGTGTGAGTATGAATTCTCTAACTGCATATTCATGTTTTTGTATTATTACATGCATGTACCGATGTAGGTATGCTAATATGTGTGCTATGTATATATGTTTGTATGTATAACAACATGTAACCATATATAAATATATATAATATTTTCATTTATTTACTTAACCGCCTGCATACCTTTGCATACATCTATGTGTCGTATGTATGTATGTATATATACTTTGCTTTTTATATATGCATGTATATGTATATGTATGTATGTACGCAGATAAAACATAATCCGTGATAATAATCTTTCACTAGTTTCTATTGTGTGTAGATCTCTCATTTCTTCTTCAAGCGCTGCGGCTCCCTAGTGAATTTTAAAATTATATATATGTATGTACGCCTGTATGCGTACACTCTCTTGACAACTTCTCTCTTTGAGTGCGTGTGATAATCGTGCGTTGATAAGCCGTGTCTTTATCGAGAAGTGCAATATTTTGTGCCCAAAGCGGCTTTGTAATGGCGGCTGACAACCTGCCTATTTACACTAACAATGAAATTAAATATTAAATAATTTGTGCCGTTCATACATTTCCATTTGTTTTGACTTGAGTTTAGTTTGATCGTCTGTTTTCCAGAGATCTTCTTCTCAGTGCCCATTAGATAGTTCAAGGCTTAAGGAAAACTGAAAATTCAGCTCAGTAATTTAGCTTATCCCTGTTGTTTTCAATAATGTCCAAAATGCAAATCTAACGCGTTGTCTGCACCGAATATGTAAAAGATCTCTTGCTCATGTCACACGGCACAGCGGAAAATTAAACTTCTCTTGCTTTAAACACTTTTCTTGAGATAAGAAAGGATTTTCCATTTTTAAAAGAAGTCGATTTGTAAATAAAGAATTCATAGAATTTTTTTTATCGCATCTACCGTATTTATTTTTTATTTTTTATTTGTTAGTGTAAATAATAGTCCCAATTATAATATGTTTTGTTGCTTTCCAATTCATGCGATTTGTGTGGTTTTAGTTGTTCTTTCGGCCCAAGTACATCTCGACCAGTTGTACCCCGTTTACACATCATTAGGGCGCATTCTCTGCTACTCTTGCGTTCTCTTTGCGATCAACTCTCTTAGTGTGGGGCTCTCTGAGGCCGCAGAGATTCCTTTATGGCTTCACACTCTGTTTCTCTCTCGGGTCCACAGGAATTTCTATGCTCAACTATTTTTATTGGCATTTAGGTAAGTGTGTGGGGTGTATTGCTTCTCTGCTATTTACACTTAGAGTACATTCAAAATGCAAATTATTATACACACACTTGCAGTTACATATGTACATATGTACGAATATTTGTTTGTATAATTGTGATGTGAATATGTGTACCAACGACAACTGATAAAAAACTTTATTTATAAATCTTTGCCATTTTTCCTTTGATTATAAATACGTACATATGCATGTGTGTGTGTGTTTATATAGACAGACATATATTTTAAAGCTCTCTTATCGGCGGTAGGTTTTTTTTCCGAAAACTCCTACAATGCCTGCCAATTCTTTTATTCTGCCCAACACCTCATATTTTGTGATTTATTAAGGAATATGTCGGTACATGTGCATGTATGTAAATATGTATGTACGTATTTGAAAAAAAATTTGCGGCAGTCAGCCATGTATAAGGAATCATTTTTACTAGTCAGAATATTTGGGGCTCATTGTAGGCGGAGAGTTTTGCAAATTGAAATAATTTCCATAAATCCCTGATACATATGTACATACATACATACGCACGTCTTCTTCTTCTTCTTACAGCCTTTCTTTTCTCTGAATGCGCTTTCAATTTGCAACTCTCTGCGCTTGATGAAGGTGATTCAACCACTTGTTGCTATTTCAGGCAAAATAAAATAGGGAAATAAGTTCTGCTTGCTGGTAATATATGGAAAGTTGGACCTGGATCTGCGCCCTGTTTTGTTCAACTGTTTTGTGTTTCTCAGATTTATGTACATATATGTATATATTTATGCATGATTTCATCATTATTTGGGAAAGCGACAATATCCGGTTGGATGTATGCTCGATAACATTGTAGCTGGCATAACCGTTATCTGGGAATTTCGATAGACAGGACAGATAAAGAAGACTATAGGTTAGGTTTGGTTGAACTACGTCAGTGTGGTAGTGTTGTCAGATACTCTATATGTGGCTAAGCTGCACTGCTACACTCTTTATTATGTCTCTAGTGTGAAGAACATTGCTGTTCTTTAGTCTTTTTTGCTTCTCGCTCATTGCCGATTGCATACCTTGTGTAAGTATAGTCTTTGTTGGCCGAATGCTGGACACTTATAGCTCCGCAGTCTCCACATATTTCCTATAACTCCTGCCCTCGTTGTCCCCAATGAGACCTTTATTAAAAGCAGTACCCCGTTATCAGTCCTACCAGCATCATGGAACCCCGTTTTTACCGCTAGTAAAAACTTTGTAAGTTTAGCACATAGTTTTCCCGATTCTCCAGTCTTTCGGTCGTGCGCCTGAGGAAACTAGATTGCTTCTTGCGTTTGCTCTTGTTTTTAAAGGTGGCAAGCAAACGGCAATCTAACAGTAATCTGCTTAGTGACATTAATGATAGTGTGGGCGAAAAAGAAATCTTTCGTAAATCGTTTGATCAGCTGCAACGTAATCCGAAATATGCTTATCTATGTATGTATATGACCACATTCCGGCACTACAAAAACTCGGAGAACTATCTTGTTGCAATCAGGATACGTACCTGCCGTATTGGTTTTCCACTCGACTTGCAACACACATATTGACAGCCGGAGAGAACACCAAGACATTTGCAATAGGAAAAGAGGAGGGGTCAAAATACGTGAAATGCTTGAGATTGAGAAAGAAAGGCGTCTTACAAGAACAAGTAAAACGATCAGATAACAGAATTTCAAATCATATTGAGTACCAGTCTGTTTAATTACAGCGATAGGGAAAACACTCTGCGCGCTAGAAGTTCAAGAAATTACCGGCGATAAGCCGTGTCAGATGTAAGAGGCTACTAAAATCCAATAGCTCCTGCGACAGCCGGGTCCTTACACCGAAAATATCTAGATTTTTATGTGTCCAAAGACTGTTATATATATTTTTGCGACAACCACAACAAAAACAACACGTGCGCCGGTGATCAAGTGGAAACGAAGGTAGAGAGATTATCTTACTCCACTCAGAGGAAACTTATCAAGCTCATGGAGAGTTTTAAGGTTGAAACCACTTCTACCCCAAGCCCTAGCCAACCACGTTGGCTTCGAAGGTCTCATTCGGTCCTTCTTGTATGTACTAATGTGCCTTCTGAAGTTCTTATTAAAAGCGGAAAAAATAAACGGTTTCTGTGCAAAAATATTTATCATTTCCCTTCGATCCAATGTCGGAATAACAAAGAGTGCAAATAAAATCGCAAAATAAATATTAACATACACAAATAGTGAGTGATGTGCACACACAAACACACGTGACAGCGATTTATTATTGTTTTCGCACATCTAGAAATATTACATATTTGTCATCAACATCGAGTAGAGGCGGCCAGTGAATGCCGGCGGCTGCCAGTGATGCTCGCCGCTCAAAGCTAAGCGAAAAAATTCTCGTTCTGAACTAGAGCGAGTACAATGAAAATACAAACTTACATACATACATATCTATACAGTGAATAATAAACATATGTATATGATTATATACGACTATGTAGTGAATATATGTATGTAAGTATGTACGTGTATGTATTCGATATGAGCGCATAATAAAGATTAGTCCGCAGTGCGACATCTTATCAGTAGCTGTAACGATTTCGTGTTTATTTTCATGTCGAGCGCAAAATGAATTCTTACTAACTGCTCCCCAAGCCTCTCTCGCCCGCTCCAGCTGTAAGCCGAAGCATCAGAACAGAGGATGGAGCATTCATACATACACGTATGCACATACCCACATACCCACATATACACTTGCACGTACTGGGATGAGCCGATCTCGATTTGAAGTAGGCGTAATGAAAACGCTTCGCAAGTGGCGACTAAACAATTTGCATTCTCGGCGAACGAATATTAAGTAAAGCATTTAGCGCCGCGCGCCGAGCGCCGAGCAGTGAATAGCGAAGGAAAGCGACGGGGAACGATTTCCTTGCCTATATTTAAAAGCAAATAAAATGTTGCGAGAACCGCGAAGGGATGTTCGAGGTAGCGGCGGATACTGAAGCCGGCGACTGGTGGCAAAGAAGGTGAGGAAAATCAGAAGTCAACAATGAAGGAATGAAGGCAGGAAAATATTTACGTTTACATGTACTATATAAGCATGTATGTATGTATGTATATGCTTATGTTTATATACATACAAAAATGTATAAATGAGAAAAACAAATATGTGTGTGTATAAAATTATTTGGTGAATGCGACGACGAGCACAAATCTCAAGATCGCAGCGATCATCAATGTTGCCCATTAAGTTGCAAGTGTGTGGAGAGTTCGTTGCGAAGTAGAGGAAAACGATAATAAACAAAGTAGACAATGAAATTTTTGGTTTCTACTTTCGTGTGTTCGAAATGCAGAGATTGTGCGAAAAAACAGCCCATAAATTAAAGGTGACAAATGAAGTATTATTGGAAAGTGCTAATGACTTGATAAGACAGTTCAAAATGGGGAAGAAATAGCGAAGAGATCACAAAGCAAATGCGTTGATAACAAGAAGCCTTCATTCTTCGAAATAAGAAGAAGCTTCAAGCAACTACATGGGCTTAGGCCGGAGCCGCAAGTTGCAAAGCTTTGGCAAAAAGAGAGAGGATAATTTCTCGGATGAGAAGGCGGAAAAGAAAGAACTGTGGAGAAGAGCGAAATCACGAATTTTACCGTGATTTTAATGAATGAAAAATTTCGCCATTTAACTTGATGTTATTGAGATAATGAAGAATTTTAAGACTTTAATGTCACTCACTTCTTACACGGCTGCAACTGTAACTGTTGATTTGGCCGTAGGGGCGGCAAGAGCGAAATATAATTGTCGCAAGTCTTATCTTTCTATCAAGCTTCAATTTATTTCAGGCGTTGGCCACATTTTTTTCATTTCATTTTAGTGGTATTATATTTATTTGTGATTATAATCATTTCATTGACGTCACGGCACAATAAGGGTAAATGTTTATAGTAACAATTTGACTCTCGGCAAAAGCTAATTTCTTGGCTAACTACTGTAGTGCTAATTAATTGTAGAATTGTAGAGAGAGACTTAGCTCATGACAAAACACTCTTTTTCTTAACTGGGGCTGCCTCGTGTGACTCGAGTTATACGGGCGCAACTAAGGCCTGGTATTGATGTAGCCTCAACTGCTACTTAACACATCCTTGATAATGGTCGTTGACAGCTCCCGTTAGAAGATCTCGATGAAATAAACTAGCTGTGTCTGGTCTGGTCCATACAACCCCTACTTTGTCGAGGTCTTCCCTTCCCAAACGTGTATGAAAAGTAATCGCCTCTAACCAGACAATTCGGGCCCTTCAGATGGCAAACCGTCAATCCAAGCCTGGTTAAATTCCAAAATATCTACACTGAAACTACTCAGGTATCCAATGAGCTACTATCTAAACTCCAGTGATCAGTAATGATCCCTGGCACTTCTGGTACTTGTAGGAACAATAACCAACATATTCATTAGTTACCTCAAGGAAAAGATTCCAATTCCCGGTGATCCTGGTGGGTTCATACATCTATTAAGCTCGTCGCTGGTTCTTGCTCGGCTGCTCACGTACATGGATTCGCCGATCGTAGTTTTATATGATTATGTAGTTGTGTTCGTATGCCCATATATTCATTTAGATTTGCCCGTCTGTCCACGATCCAGTCTGTCTCTTGTTGTTTGTCTTTTATACATATAGACATACATATGTATGTACATACATGTCTACATATGTAGTCGCGTCGGTTTTACACACGGGCATGGCGTGTAGATAATGTTAATTCGACTTTTTTGTTGTTATTATATTTATTGTTATTGTTGTTGTCTGTTGCCATTGCCTTCGTCGCTGAATCGTACTTTATTATTATTATTATTACATTTTTGTTGTGTGTTGAACACACCACGCTGATAAAATAAAGAACAATATTAATATGAGTTTAAAAATAGAATCGCTCTTGCTGCTGTTGTTTTTGTTGTGGATGTTAAACATATTTACATTTATTTTTTCTGCTGCAATTTACGTTGTTGTGTGATATGTCTGTATATATATATATATATATATATATATATATATGTGCATCTTGTGTATTTTTCTTGTTTGCACTGCTCAATCGCCCAGCTGTGATAGTGTGAGACGGAGAGTGAGAGCGAGAGAGCCAAAAATCGTGTGGACAAGAGCGAAAAAGAGCGCAGGCAAGAGCCTGATCAGTTTGTTACAAGTTCTTTGTACAGCAAAAAATTATTGGCGAAAGAGAAGCTAACAAAGAGTAGAATATGCGCATTTTCATGTGGTGAATTTCTCATTTGTGTGTGGTAAAGAGCGTTAACCCAATGAAATATCGCCAATTTCACGTTAACTGGACATTTAAAGGATATGCAGAATAATAAGTGAAATAACACGTTTTCGAAAATATCCGAAAAAAATTTTCTTTCCGATATTCAGTTATGCACGCTTGCTACAACAATCACACACCCACTCCCACTCAACTCTCACACCCACACATACCTCAACCCTTTGCAACTCAGCGAAGCTGCTCGCTTGCGCCAGTCGCTTGTCATTATTCTTCAAACATTCCAGCCACGAGATACACGAACACGAATACATACGAACACTAGCGTATATCTCACGGACGGAAGCTAACTGTGGAGCTCACCGCTATGAGTTGTGGAGCTGCGCGCATTGCAGCTGAACGTTCAATAGCAGCCAATACACGAACTGAGCTTATTATCGGCGGCGATACTTCTCCTTTGTCGTCGTCTTTGCTGCGCCTTTTGCGTTGTGAACTGAATGAGCGGCGAGCGTTGCGTACATTCAGTATTATTCTATTCGTCTGCGATAAAAGTTGCGAGTAAATGCTTGGCTCTGTATTTTGATAGATACATATGTACCTATACCAACTAGATATGTTTCCAATTTCAATTTCGTGGTCTCTACTGGTATCTGTTGGCAGTGTGTTTTAGCTTACGTTTTTTTTTTTAGTGCGGTCGTTGTTGTTGTGCGGTTTATATTTGCGTCGATACATCAGTTGAACGTCGGTGGTCGGTTCAATCAGCTTAGCTACAGTTACTTACTTACATACATACATACATACATACATACATATGTATTACAATATACTACATATTATGAAAAGTGTGGAAAAACGTTGTTGCGGTGCCGGAATTCATTTGAGGAAATAATAAAAGTAAAAATTAAAATTTAAAAATAAAAGTTTCAAAAAAAAAAGTAAAAAAGGTCTTACCTGTGGTTTGGAAAAAATTTTCAATACTATTTGAAAAGGAAAAATTAGAATGGAATAGGCAAAACCTGCAATTGTTCAGTTCCTGAGCGCAAACAAAGTAATAAATTTTATTTTTGTGTTAACATTTTTGGAACTTTTTTTTTTAATCCTAACTAAATAAGAGAAAGATTTCATTTAGTTTCAACTTGTCTATTGCCGCTTGGTAGGGGGCAAGAAATGCGGCAAATTACGCAGTTGTAAATGCGGAAGACGCGCAACAAGGCAATGTGCGGGAACAGACAATTTTTTTAATTTTTAAAGAATATTTTTAAATGCAATTTTTTGATTAGTCTAATATTTAAAGACAATTCCCAATATAAAAAAAAAAATATTAAAAAAATAATTTAATTTAATTTAGTATTAATTTTAGCTTTTTTTATTAATTACTCAAAAATCACACGAAAAAATTTGCGAACAAGTAGCTTGTGAAAAAGCCTATAGAGGTAAGAAAAGTCATGCGAAGCGCAAACAGCGATGACGATAACCGCCGGCTTAGCATTTGCTTTTTTCTTAAAAACGAAAAGAGAAAACTAATGGAAATAAAATCAAAAAATTATTTAATTAATTAATTATATATATTTTTTTCGTTTACACATAGAAACATAATTCCGCGCGAATAAATAATTTTTTGTTTGCGAGTTAGACGAAAATATAGATAAATGAAAATATACATATGTAGATTCATAGAGGTCTTAGTAAATTACTGTGTTTAGAGTGAAGCTCACTACGGATAAGAAAACAAAAAGGCTCACACTGGTTGATACTTCTGCAGCTGTTTAAGCAAAACATAAGTATCAGAAATTACTTTATATGTGAATATGTTTTGTGTAGTATTCCTGTTGCCCTTGGAGCCGAGCCCTGGGTATTTTTTATCTTATCGCCAATGTGTTTGATTATCATATTATTTTCTTAACAGTCCATCGATTTAACTGAATACGCCGTGTTAATGAGGTCAAAATCGATTAAAATTTATGTGCATAAATGGGCGTTCTTTGTTGTATCTCTTAAGATTTTTTCGCTTTCATGCGTTTACAGTGGGATTTTCTCGTTTTTTCTTCGTAGAAAATAAGAAAAATTCACTTACTTTTCTTTGAGAAGCGAACGTGTAGCCGCAGCTTATAGTTCTATTTTGTTTTATTGTTTGCAATTTAATTTAATTTAGTTTTATTTTATTTAATTTTCTTTTGTTTCAATTTATTTTTATCTGTGCTATTTTATTATTTGTTTTGTTTAATTCAATTGTTTTTAAATTATTTTATATATTGTAAAAAGTTAGCGGAAATACCCAGCCTGAGATACAATTGCGCTCAGATATTGACTCAAACTCGTTCCAATATCTTTTGTTTATTCAGTTGGCGGATTTCCATTAGTTTCTCTTCTTTTCTCTCGTTTTCATCCATAACTAAGTTTTTCGTAGCTGTCTACCGGTTGCAGAGTCGACGAGCTCATAAACTCAATTCGAATTATTCATGTATTTATTTATTCTAATTTAATTTCATGATTCTTTCAATTTTAATTTATTTTTATTTTCATCGTTTTCATTAGTTTTTCTTTAATCATCTTAAATTTCGTGTATGTACACTTGCCGCTTGTTGCAAGCGTCATTTCGTATTCGCGTCGCGCAAAAATTGGCAATTGTTAAATATATGCATTATACAAACACCTATGCACGTAAATACATATATGTATGTATGTATGTATATAGTATTTGCGAAAATTTTTGTTTAAAACAAAATACAAATGTATGTTTGTATGTATTTATGTATGTACTCAAGTAAAAGGAGCAAAGTAGTCTACCGGGTGCGTGCTATGTGCCAGAGGGTCATGGATTCTAGCCTTGACCAGATCAACGTCTTCAAGTGTATTTTTATCATGAAAGTTATAGCTCTCATTTTCATTTTCGGTATAAAATATCAAATTCAAGTCGGAGTAGAATCTCCGAATCGCCGAAATTCGCTCAGCGGTAGGCAAAAGCAATTGAATAAGCGTTTGGTATTCTCTGCATGCCTACGCCAAGCTGCAAATTAGAATTTCATTCGAGTATGCGTGTTATTTCATTTTCTTTTTGTTGTTATTTATATACAATATAATGTGTGCTTTAGCGCCGAAATGCTGTGGCGCCACAAAATTGTAACAATATGCGCATTTTAAAATTTTCTTTTTTTTTTGGCAAAAAGAGAAGCACATTTATCAGTTAATGCTTATAATTGGCTCACCTATTGTGTGTGTACGTGCGTTTTGTGTTAAAATTATTATTCTCTGATTGCTTTGATGTAAGCTCTCAGCGCGGGTGTTTGCAATAATTGGTATTGCTGCTCAATAACGGTTTCATAATAAAATTTCCAATAAAAAAATTTAATCTCAGATTTCAAAATTTTAATAAGAATGCATGGAAATTCGCTAATTTAAATATAATTTTATGATAGCTCAAGCAAGCGCTCCATTCTAACCTCTAGCGGTTAAATATTTTTTATGTGACAAACTGTAAAAAGATATGTATATGTGCGCAATGCAGCATTCTGAAATATTTATTAGGTTGTACTCGCATAGCTGCCGACAGAAATCCAATCAAAAGCATCAGCTTAATTGCAAGCCGAGGCAAAATGCTTTATTTGCACCTTTAGCCATCTTTCATTTATTTACGCATGATATACTCGTACATATTAATACTCGTATGTACATATGTTTGCATTTGCATGCAGATCAACTAAATGTGGTTCATTTCGTATTTAAACAAACAAGGGAAAATTATTCGAAATAGCCACATGCAAATTTATGTCTGACACCTGCTTCTTCTTCTTCTTCTTCTGAATGCACAAGTTCTGCATTTCGTTTCAAGCCAAATAAAATATTTGTTTATTATAAGTTTTCTTGCACCTAACGGTCATTAGAATTTTAATATATTTATATACGTGTATGTACATAGATCTACACAATCTTCTATATGTATCTACGCTCTTCCTTTTCCGCTTACATTTTGAAACGTTGCCAAATTTCAGTTTGTTTTCATTTTTTCATGTTTTCCCTATTTCTATTTCTTTTTTCAAATATCGGGCATTAGAATAATTGGTTTGTTTTGCTTTGAACATCGCGTTTGCTGCTACTAAAAATAGTGTTGTTGCTGTTAAATAAATATTTTTCAAATATTTTGCCTATTAATTGTAATATTATGACTGTTTGTATATAATAGACAATATTTTTTCGAACACCATTGCGATAATTTATAGAAAATGAGCGCCAACAAAACCAACAAAATCCAAAATCAAATTTAACTGTTGTATTGCCATATTTGTTGGCTCATTCGCGATTTATCGTACATTTTCATTTTTAAATTTAAGCTTATTTTTTTTTCGTTTTAAATTTTTACTTTAATTTTAATATATTGACGTAGTAGACGTTATTGGCATTATTGGATCCAACAGATGGCTTTGTATAAGTCCGATCGGATTCCGCTAGATGGCGTTAGAAAGATGAAAAAATTTTTCTGACATTTTTAATGATTGGTTGATTGAGTTTTGTTTGAGCGTGCTTTAAAGAGAATATACGCTATATTTTACAGTAAGGGCGAAAACGTAAGCCAGGTGGCTGAAAATGTTACAGTCAATCATGCACAATAATGATGTAAAAGATGCTTCGGGGAGTAGAAAGGAAAGCCGATTGTCGATAAAATCATGGACATTGTCGAGTACGGGCGTCAGCAATGTTTCGTTCGATTGCCCAAGAGCTATACATTGCACAACAACCATTTGAATAAATCTGGAAAAAAATAAATAATTAATTCATTCGATTTTATGCAAAAGTCACGTATTTATTTTTACTACACCTAATATTTTGACTTTGCGGCCGCGATAGCCGAGGGGTTAGCATGCGTACTGACATTCGGAAGGCTCGGGTTTATATCCTAATGCCACCAACATCCAAAAGTTATGGAAAATTAATTTAAATAAAAAATGAAGCTAAATTTTCTAATTGCGGTCGCCTCTCGGAAGGGAATGTCCACCACTCTGAAGGTATTTCAGGCATGAAATAAAGGCTTCTTGTAAAAAAAAAAACATCAGCCGTTCGTTTGCGGCTTAGTTTTAACTGTAGGTCTCTCCGTTTGTTGGAAAAACATCAAGACGCAAAACCACAAATTGTAGGAGAAGCTCGGCCGAAAGTCGCTTCAACGATTACTAAGCATCAATTATATAAGATTTTGATTTATTCAGTTTATTTTATTTTATTTATTTTTATTTTTTAATTTTATACTAGTCTGCTATATTTTAATTAAATTTACTGGATTTTGGTTTATTTTGTTTTTTTTTTTTTATATCTTTATATGCTTCATTCTATTTAATTTAATTTATTTTATTTATTTTCACTTTATTTTATATTTTCACTTTATCTTGTCCATGAAGAAGTACAATATAAAAAAATGCTCACAAAAAGGTAAATTTTTTCCAATAATTTCATTTGGTAAATATAGGAAATTTTTCATTAGAAGATAATAAATAAATGAATATTTGACAACCGGATCATAGAAAGTGCTCTGTTTACAAAATGGTAGGAAAAATACTACACATTAACAAAATATTTTAAAGCAATGCCTCGGCAACATCAAGTTAATGTAAATTTGAATTATAATTTAGTTTATTTTTAGCGCAGTTTTTTCCCATCTTATTATTTTTGGCACCAACGTGCCAGACTCTTTCCACATCTGCAATATAATCCGTTAGCGACGTCTAGCAGCTGATGTGTTATGCATAATAAACATAAAATATGAGATGTATTTGATTATTTATTTTTTTGTAGCGTTAAAAACTTCCAAAATTTATTTATTTTTATGGTAATTTTAATTTTTTTTAATACTATTTTATGTTTTTTTTTGTTGCTTATTTTATGCCTAAATGGCTTTGCTAAATCAA